GAAACAGAAGTATTAATCCTCTCATACAAACATACATTCTACGTCAAGTTGTCCATTCGTGACTGTTTCCAATAAAGTTAAGACAGTTAAGAGCTCCCAGCCTACATGAAGCAGGATTGACTGGCTGTGACTGTTTTGTGTAACCCGATACAGCTGTACTTTGACCGTAGGTGATTGATAAGACAGCTGTGCCACCAATCTGCTGCTTTTGTCTGTTGACTGAATTTGACTAGTCAGAGTGCTTGCTTGAAATGATATGACTGTTTGTGACTAGCCTGTGTAAAAGGCATGGCCCTGCAGGGGAAGTGGATGGAATTTTTGACTGTCTGTGACTGTTTAAACAGTAGCAGGGTTGTCGGTTTCTTTTCTGGGCTGTTTAAAATTGACAAATTCCCATCGTCTCGGTGAGCTTTACCAAGAAAAGTCCAAGGCAGACACTGTGCCTGTTCACTGTGCCTTGCTCTTCAAGCAATAATTCCTACATTTCGTGGGGCGGAATGTCACCAGTTTTTGCTGCAGGTTAAAACGGTTAAAATGAGCAATGTTCTTTACATACAATTCAAAAGCAGACAGTGGGCAGTTGTTGATATCAATGAAATTTGGATGAGGAACGGAGTCTGTGTCCGCCTTCATACATATCACGTGTCGGCCATCTTGAACCGAAAACCGAGGAATATTTCTGAAAATTATCTTTTGAAAATTAACCGCGATGGAAAATTCTAAACCATGGACAAAACGCCAGTTGTCCTAAAATGCAAACTCATGATATCAAAACAAATATCTTGCACCTTCCTTTTCCATGAAATTTATTCGTGAGCACGATCGAAATCATTTCGTATGACTTAGGAATGAGGGCAACAATTTTAATTGTCTATTGCATGCCTTAAGATCCTTCGCATTTATCCAGGCACGTATTCCGTAACTGGAAACGTTTCATGAAGGTATTGATTTTATGGGAAGTTAATCTGCCATCAAAAATGACATTTGATAACCGTTTTCTTTTCAGTGAATTCCTCCCAAAAATCAATGTTGTGTGTTCATCCCTACCACTTCCGCCTTGGCTTTGTCCCCAAAAGCACAAGACTTGAATTTTGGATTATATTCCCCCCCCAAAAAAAAAAATCAATGTGTGTGATATAAAAAGTGGCTCCGTCTTAAAATCATGCCCAGGTATGTAAAGATACAGACTTGCAGCTGACTAAATATTTATTTCACCAAAGTTTACTTTGGAATCAGTAGGCGTAGGATAAAAAAAGTTCATAATGCTGATTTTTAGAGCTGTGATGTTGTAAATGTTGAAGGTAGTAACACTTACATGCTACTCATTCATTCATTTCATTCAATTAAATGGTTTATTGAATCAATCATGAATTGCAAGGGCTGAATTGAACATGATTTACAAAGGGAATTCCATTAAAAAAACACTGATAACATTAAAATATTAAGACGTACTAGATAGTAATCCCGTTAAAAAAAACCATTATTAACATTAAAATATTAAGAAGTACCAGATGAAACTGACAAAAAATACCTCGAATACACGACAAATTTACACTAGAAAACTGCTCAGAACATAGAACGCATGATAGTACGGCTGGAGAAATGGGCTCCCATGCAACCCCCCCCCCCCAAAAAAAAAAAAAAAATTATTACAAATCCAAGATGAATACTGTCGTGCAAATGGAGTTAGTTTATTTGCCAACAAAATTGTTTGAACAAAATACGCGAAAGCGTCAGGTGTGGTTTTCGCATGAGTTTCCAGACATGGAAAAGGAATGTAGATGTACTACAGCTTACGCCACCGAAGAAAATGTATGTGCCTGTTTTTCATATGGTGTTTTAGGAACCTGAAGGATTTGTTGCAATGACGTTATACATTCAACTTTAGGGGAAAACACATTTAAGGGCCAAGAGTGGCAATATAATTGTGATACTTCGGACGATACCAAATTCTATACCTTTCATAACTGCTCACAATGAAGAGACGCAATACATACAAAAAAACATCAAGTTGGATTTGTTCTTGCTAAGAATTTGTACATCAGTAGCTAGCAACGTCAAATGACACGTTGCGTATAAGTGAATTCCCAAAGCCTTTATTTGTCATCAAAGGGATCCTTTTCAACCTTTTAAGGTTTTGATACTATAGGTTGAGTGATCGTTTTTGTCAATGCCTCAAATCAAACTTGTTCGTTCGCCTGTAGGCCCAGTACTCGCTTGACCATGCAGTAGATTTGTGTCGCATATAAAAAAAAATGACGCACTAATCTGCCCCGTTCTATAATCTAATCCACTGTCAGTGCGCCCTACAATATCCACGCGCATAATTCGATAACAAACCAGCCACAATTGAGCATCCTTTTAAAATCCCGCGGGCCCAAATGCAGGCATTAGGAATTATTTTCACTAACGAAATCTGGAGCCCCAGGCCAACGGTCACAGCGGATTTTGAAGAAATGAAAATCTACTACAGGCCTTTTTTTTTTAGACGCAGCAATCAAAACATTGCCCCTTGTCTCCTCATTGAAGACTTCATGTGGGCTCTTTCACAATGGGGAATCGATGATTTTTATGAAAATGAACTCGTTGCAAACCTTGATCGTTCAACTATTTGGGAAGGACTTTGCCATTTTTCGATTTACGTATCTGGGACAACCTGTCGTTTGAAAGTATCAAGGAACGGACAACTGGTTTCCTGCACACACACAAAGTGCACAGTGGAGGATTTTGGAAAATTCTTGTGAGAAAAAATTGCACAGAGAGTGGGGATTCAAAACTTTGTGATGAGGTCCATTATTAAGGTGTTAAAACAATAAAATTACTTCGCGGACAGGCTTAATGAAGTTACAGCTTGTATTAAAAGTACGCCGATGCGTTTTTTGGAACGGACTGGCCTCGTAAAACTCATTCAAGACCACCATTTTGTGAAGCTGGTTTTAACAGTGCTGCTTCAGTATCGACTTGTGTTTGAAACCAGACAACAGGCTTCTCGTTTTCCGAACAATTCGCACGTTGATGCTAAGTCACACCAATCAATAATACCCGGCCCTTTCTCAATAGAACGCAGGTCAAGCCCGCAAATCCCACGCCATCGACAAAAATAACCAGGACAGGATATTTTGGGGACAGTGGAGCGTGTGAATTAAGATTTTCATACCGGATTTAGGAAGTGCGGATGGGGTTACCAAAAGTATAGACAGTTTCCGATCTGATAGGTTTAGAATAAAGGATGTGGCATCAGCCCCAACTTCCTTGTTGAAGGGAGTTGACTCAGTTTTCCCAAAGCGAATGCAAATAGAATCGAAAAGTGAACAAGTCCAGTCCTCGCCTACCCTACTGGAAGCTGGTTGAAGTGCTCTTGTCAAGTCCATCACAAGTGCATCATTAGTCTGCTCACAAGTGAATTACAAGCCGAAACACAATCCGGCTAATTATGAGGAATATAGAAACTTATGACACGAGTGCCTCTGTCCGAGTTTATTTGAATAGCTTGTGACTTTTTGTGATTGACTTGTGTTATGATAAATTGTGGTGGATTCGAACACGATGACTTAATTGGTTTGCGATTAGTCCGAAAATTTGGAACTCTCCATACTGTGTATGAGAGTCCCAAAACTTAAGGTATTGAAAAAATTCAACACAAAAAAAATAGACTGGCAGTACTGCATCATTCAACTGTGCCAAACGAAAAATCTGACATGTCTGGTACTGATCTCCATTTCTACACATTTCTCCATTGTCAGCCACCAGACTAACGAAGTCTTTTCAAACAGTTGGCATTGTTCAACCACGGTTGGACATGTACCAGTCTAGTCTTTAGCCTTAATTTGAAATCACTTGACTTCCCTCTCATGTGCAAAATATTGAAGAAAAGTCTCCCTTCAAAAATTGAATTGAGACTTCAAACTTGGCTGGAGAAACACTGAGGACCTTTTCTTTGCCCAGTTAAGTTTTTTTCTCGAGTGTTTTGTTGCTAAAGAGAGTGAGTAATGTTGGCCTGATTTCGTTTTGCTATAAAGTTGAGATGGTAAAAAAAAACCTCCTTTACTTATAACTATCACAAACTGTCAAAAACTCTAACCCCCACTGCTCTTGGCAGTTTCTGTACAGGCTGCTCTCCAACTGCCACAAATCCCTATGGATTCAAATGTACAACTGTCAGAACTCCCTAGGGTGTGCAAAATCATATTAAAATTAGAGGATTCAGGACTGTTAGGGTTAGCCCTAAACACTGTCCTGAATCCTCCAATTTTAACATGATTTTGTGGTTTGGCAGATAGTATGACCACTAATACAGGTACAGATTGTGTAGCAGCCATTTTAAAACGGTCAATTGTACATCATTATGAGGGCAGCTGGCAGATCCGTTAAAATCTATCCCCTGATAGCTTTGTCACTGAGCACGACAGGAGGGTGTTTAATTAATTAGTTAATCAATGCCACTTAGCAACTGAGCAACATCAGGAACAGAACAGCAAGTTCCACAACATCAAGTAAGCACTGCATGCTTACTGCATTTTAAAATCCGAATTGTATAATACGAATAGTACAATATTACGGGACGGTTTTTCCAACCGGATTCGCATGGCCGTAATAATCTTCCAGCAGGAGGTCTATTAGAGTTAGAGTTATCCAATCGAAATCTGATGCGTATTTGATTACAAGTTCTGGCTTTGATATATCGCACAGATCCTCGATGATTTCAGAACCTGGAAGGGAGCAATAACTTTAACCCATACGGTAAAATCTCAGGTTGGTTCTCCTTCTGACGTCAAATTATTTGAAATGATCCACCTCGTTTTGTCCGTTTATATTTTTTTCTAGCAACATGCATAATGATCTGTAATGTAATACGTGGAATTCATCTTCAGTCTCTAGTCATACCCCGTCCGTGATGTAAATTCCACACTGGTATATTTAGTTAAGGAGCGGGTTATATTGGTTTACAAATTGGCATTTCTTTTTGGCAATTATGTCCGAATATATAGCCCATTACTCACCATGTATGTGCTCTCAGTGAAGTTTACCAGAAACTTTATTCTCTTGACTGTCACAGCAGGGTTTTTTCTTGGTGTTCTGCCCTCCACCTCCGCTGATGACTACACCAGCATGTGAAATATTTCCAGAACAATGGACGAAGCGGTAGACTTGTTGGTCTAGGTAGGTATGGGTAAATCCACGGTTTGTGATCGGCACGGTAGAGTGCCTACCAGCACAAAAGCGATGGAGGTCAGCCAACGTGTCGAACTATAGGCCTACTAAAATAATATCAGCACACACAGAACTTGTGGCACATCAACAGATGTTGTTATAGCTTGGGCGTATAAAACACCATATCACAAGGAATCATGTAGGCGATCGGTTTGGTTGCGTGTGCCGGCACGACCTTGTACCCGCATAGGTCTTGATGTTAGGACACAACGAACACCAATATTTGGTCATGCACACATAGATGTACCCACACAAAAATGCACATCAAAACACCGATGAGATTTGGCCAACACGTACATGTGTATGTGACTCCAATCCGTGACTTGTGACAGCTCCACAGATAAACAGCATGATCGCGTTCAAAGCAGACGTGATTCGCAATGGGTGGATATATTACCAGTGGTAGTTGCCAGTTCCGCCGGCGATACTCTATTCCATAGTGTACATGTACATAATTGCTGGCTGTATTAGTGGCTTTAGTGCGCGTGAATATCACCTGGTCCAGGTTTTGTTATCGTCAGCGACGCGCGTGTTCACATTGTCATGAGAGTGGTACTTGCTCTCTGCCTGTTGTTATTGTGTACGTGTGCGCGGAAGGCAGGCAACCGTGTCGCACTGAGGACGCGCCAACTACTTGCTCAATTCACGCTGCCTCTTTTCAATCTGACGTGTAGTTCGTGTCTTGGCAATGTCCATTGAAAGGCAACTGTACATCCGGATAGAATCCAACGTTGATGTCATTATTTGTTTAATGTTTCAAATAAAGTGGGCGTTGTGCGTTTTAAAATGAGCGGTTTTCAACTTTCGATTCGTGTCTTTAAAAATAGGGGGATGACGTAGGCTTAATTAACCGATTAAACAATTTGTCGAATTACCAAAACAAAATGCGGTTTTTCCCACTAGGAAACGTGCCACGTATCCAAAAGCCTTTCTGTGTGTTTTTTTTTCGGGGAAAAGGAAAATTTGCCCGAAACTTGCGTATGGAACCCCCCCCCCCCAAAAAAATTATAAAATAAATAAACCTTAATTTTTCAAGGAAATTCCCAAAAAATTTACGAACCAATTTGCAAAATAATGACAAACCATATCCTCAAAAATATTGGATATCTCCACGACCAATAGTTGCCGACCCCTATAAAGGGCGAGTAAAAAAAAACCAAATGGCAGGACAGTTTTCCTAATAAAGTTCTGCATGTAGCACTTTCAAAATCTAGGATATGAAAGCCAAATTAATAAGCCTCCTTTTAATATAAGAATCATTCAAATCACTCATGTACTTTTCGAGTTTTAAACACAACCAACCGTTTTAAATAAAAAAAACCTGTCCATGGATCACACAAAAAGGTTAGTGATTTCACACATATCCTTATGTGAATTGTTTTCGTTTTGCTGAAAGAACACTTGCCTTTTTGTCCTGCCCTTTGGATTTCTTTTTCTTTCTTTTTTTGACTCACCTTGTGTACATCTTAACCATCATGATTTCAGGTACTAAATATTAAATACAAATATTGGTTGAACCGAATGAAAACGGGACACTGATACAAATCTGTGAAGCCGTGGCCACGGTTGTTAAACAATGGGTTCGACTGGTTAACCTAATCTCTGTCAAGACTGTGTGTGGTCACCAGGTGTTTTCTTGATATTAATGAGATGGCACTCCTAACTTTGGCATCACCCAGTCCATTATTATTCCGTACAAATATTGACGTGTTATCAGTCTGCGCTATCATCGCCGATGCCTATAAGCGATGGTTTACAAATACAGAAGTGAAAGAAAGGAGAGACAGCGATGGAAAATAACTGCTGGAAACGGACCGATGGCCTTTTGTGATGATGAATAATAATAATAGGAAGTCTGTATACACTGTTCGTGGTAAACATGTCATGTCATTGAGGGGGGGGGGGGAGCACAGCGCACATTTCTTTAAAAAAATCGTATCTGAAATCTTTTGTGTACGTGAACTACATACACCCGAGGACCGACAGACAAACGGAGAACAACATATTCTTTGTTGACCTCGATCGTTCACCTTTTGTTGAAAACGTCCTCGATCGTACGTTTATGTGCTTATTGAGGGAGAGAGTGTTATATTACAGGAACAAAGGAAAAGATAATGGCTTGTCCTCGTGAGTTATGTAAAACCAAACTGTGTTGTCCTTCAACTGCACTTGGGTAATTCCAGCGTTGTGAATTAAAGGAAGTGTCACGTCCGTGACAGAGACAATTAACCATGATATCTAATTAATGATTCAGAGAAATGATCCAAAACCCCTAGTCTGTAATATCCTTGACCATTACTAGATGATGGACGAGATTTAAAGAAAAACCAAATGCATGTTTAAGTTAATTAATCGGGCTTAAAAGCTCTGTCGTGGACATTGAATGTTAACGATGGAATTGCAAACAAGGATCCGCGTGTAGGCTACACTCTTTTTGACGATAACCGAGTGCATTGTTACGAAAGGAAAGTTGGTATAAGGAATCGGATATACATTCAAGAATAATAAACAAATAATAACAGGGGTGTGGCTTCCATACAGGAGGAATTTAAAGCTTCGAATAACGGTGACGATAAATGTTTTCTTTAAGAATATCCCATGTATTTATTTCAATTCTCATTTCATTTATCATTTAAGCATTTATGACGAAACATATCTGATGATCATCGACATCACAGGTTATACCTTTACAAAAGTAATGTGTTTATTAAAAACAGAGGCAAACAGGATAGACATTACTACAGGACAATGAACAGATAAGCCAGACGATCCAAAAACTATGACGAAGTGAACTAAACTGTTTAAAAATACTGTTCAAATTACTGGCGTGTGATTTACAATACGTTTGAGAAAACAAAATTTGGAGCCTGCTCAAAAACACTTTGGCACTTTTTTTAGAAGGACAAAAACAAAATTTCAAAATTTCTCATTTGTATACCACCCAACAGGTTGATTGTTCGCTGCGGTTCGTGCGCTGAATACGCCGGGACAATTTCAACGTCCGGCGGCATTCGGGTTTCAATCGATTTATAAAAACAAAATGGTAAAAATAGTTCAACGGGCCGTAACAGCACTTTTACCAGATATGTGCTCAATCCTCAAACATCGTAAGAGACGACCTGAGAACCGATGGAGGAAAAAATATGGTCGTTTATTGCAACGTGCTAAAAGCCACAATCACTAGATGCTGAAACGTAATGGAATTAACGTTGACAGAGTATTGATCAGTGAACCCACGTTTTTGGTTCAATCAGATTCCGTAAGCTGAAGCATTGTCAATAACCACTCAAAATATGAAGGCGACTTCGTCCAAAACACACACATCAGCCTCCAATATGTACAATGTACATCATAAGAAAATTGAAAAATAACTGGGAAATGATCCCTATGATTTCATGCATTTCATTTTCAATTGAACCCCCCCCCCCCTCGAGACCTTTACCCAAGGGCATGTTTGTACGACCATATAGACTAGAAAACAAAGTTGTATTGATTTAAATTATGGCCAAAACCCATTCAGTGACCCCTTCAAAAATGAGACCCGTCAGACTGCCCGCCCCCGTAGACCTTTTGATAATATAGCAACTTTCACATAGAGATGCTGATATTATATTGTAACAATTTAATATTGGATTCGCCTCATTCCCCGTAGAAACACCGGAAAGCGGCGCGTAGCCAGGCGGCGACCGCCTGGGCCCCGGGGTCCGGCTCTCGTACCAACTCCTTGTTGACGTAGCTGGCCCTGCCCGCTCGGGCCTCCATCGTGGCCGTTCTCACTGCCGTATCTTCCGCAGCCTAGAGGAAAAATAAAACAGGGTTCAAGATGTTGTATACTGTCTGTGATATTTCCGAGATCCTCCGTGTAAATCGATTTAGTGTTTTCTTGCTATTTTGCTAGCAATAAAACAAATATCGACTTTGTACGAGACATCGGCGAAACAAATCGGCCCATGTCTAGTTTAATATACGGAAGAAAATAATGTGCAAATTCGAATTATTTGTGACCCAACACTGATTCAGATCTCACAGGATGCACTGGTTCCCGCCACATATCCAATTTGTAGATAATTTCAAAGCCAGTTTCAAGAACAATATTTTCAAGAACCATCTTTCAAGCTATTTGCTCTTTCTCTCCTCGTAGTATTAATCTGGTCTCATTATTATGTTATGTCTTGTGACCCCTGTCGTGGGTTTGATCGTTAGTCCTTCCTCGGTTACTGTTTGCCCTCGTTTGTATCTGTCCGTTGGTTTGTAGGTCTTTCTTGAAGTTCTTTGAAATTATCAGAATTATTTTTTCAATTCTGCTTTTATGGAAGGCATGCTTCTGCAAGCTTCGGCTTTTTTATAACAATGACGCCACCTTTGCATAACGACCTATGGTTCTCATGGCTCTTTTGACTTGCTTTTGATGGAAATCAATGTTATTGAAATGAATTGAAAATTGAACAATGTAAAGGACCAGCAACAAGTCTACTGGCTAGGCGGACCCGTTTGTGCGCAAAAGCAACCCACACAACAACAAGCAAATGGAGGGTTATACACAAGTCATGCTTAAAATAGAAAAAAGTAGGTTTTTTCGTCAAAATAATAAATACAAGTAAAACAGTCGTCGACCTTTGTATTAAATCTTTAATTAATTATCAAGCGAACAGGTGCAATGAGCTGGAAATGATCGACAGGGAATGGGTATTGTTATTCACGGAGATGAAACACGTAAACTATATATGTCTATGTGATTAGCCTTCTTGAATGTCTGACTATTACACCGTTATGTATGAATAACGCATCGATGAACGCTCTTGACATGCTTCCACATGACGTCATCTTCAAGCGTAATGGAATTAAATCTGCTGGTATTAAAAGACTGGACCTTTTTTCTATTTCCAAGAAATTGTTATCGTCTATCGTTATTAACATCCGACGACAGAGATCACAGCGTAGTGAAAGAATCGTGTTACTTACTCGCGTATTAAAATGAACTCAATTCCAGCGCCCTAGATAACACATTGTTTGACATCGTGATTTTTTCCTGTAAAAGCAACAAGGCTTTTTGAGAATCCATCACAAGCAGTTTTCAGGATGACCAACGGACTCTTTCCTCAAATGATAACTGCCCCTTACAAAATTGTCCTTTAATTTTTTTTCATGCTTTGCAACCATTTTATAATCGTTTCTGCACTCGACGCATTTATCTTTATTTCGGGACTTTAAAACAGAGGTGACATTTCTGCATTTTCTGAGACCAAACTACCATTCAATTTGTTGTTAAAACTAATTAGCCAATTGCCAATTATCTGTGTACATAGTGACGTTCTATGTTCCTCGGGTCTTTTTTAATGTTCCCTCGATGCTCTTTCGATTATCCGTCAAACAGGGTAAATACAATAATAAAGAAACAACGAACAGGTATCAAGTAGCAAGAAAATGGAAGGGTAAAAAAATAAAACAAACGGAGCACAAGGTCGTTTCCATGGCGACGCAGAATGAAAACAAGCGCACGCGTGTGGCCGGCTTCACGTCCTTCATCCAAATAAAATCAAATTAGAGTTCTCGGCAATTCTTGGCTCAGAACATTACTTACAAGCGTTTCACAAAAAAACACATTTTGACACATTTCCGCATCCCGACATTTGCCTACCAGCTCATTCTAGCGGCAGGTCGCGTGAACATGAATCTCCTGGCCTCTTTATATCTTATTATAGCATTTCTTGCCAGCAGTTTTTCTTCTTCCTTTCTTCGATCTATTTCTAGAGAGAGACCGTATACCGGTTCGCCATTCGGGGAGGAAATTGGAAGGGCCGCGCAGACTTGAAGGTCGCTGAAAATGTCACGAAAACAGACGGGCCCCGAACAAGGCTTCCATTAGCGGCACTGAACATGAAGACAATTTCCCCCAAAACAGAGATGTAAAACGGGGCGCAAAAAAGAGCAAGGTCGATGTAAACCAATAACGGCAAATGTACATGTCATTCACATCGGGGGGAATACTGCACGGTGCATTAAAGCGGCTGTCAATTTGTTTCGATCACATTGAAGATGAGTTCTTTTTTAGATCCGTTTTCTTTCTATTTTTACGTATACTATCACACTGAAGAACATTCCACAACGGACGGAGTCCTTCGATTTATATTTTTGTTCTTTCTCAAATTCGTTTTACATTTGTAAGTCGTTACCCTTCAAAATAGTCCGGTACTGATGACGTCTATTGCAACTTCGATTTCGAACTCAGTGACATACTCTGGGAACTCTACAAAATGACCGACAGAGATTCTTTATGGGCCGAGTATGGGGCGACGTAGCAACGCGTGAAAAGTTTCGAGGATTATTATTACGCCTTCGACTTCCGGAGCGAAAAAAATCATCAGTTGATGAAAATGTCCTGCTTAAGTCAAGTAAAAAAACAGGCTGTGTCCTTTGGTCGCAATGCAAAATATGTACTTACCTCCACAGCTTGTTGGAAGTGTGTTTTCCCAAGGGATTGTGTTCCAGACTTTGCCTTCTCCAGTAGGACTCTCGCAGCGTGGAGAGGATCAAGCTACATGGTCAAGATAAGTTTGTGAAAGTACTTTTTTTAAGTGGGAGAAACATCTGTCCAATCAATACATTCATCGAAGTTATATGCTGGGATTTCTGGTACTCATCCGTCTGCACCCAGTAAAATGATGACAGCAAATAGACCGTGTAAGTCTCGCGCATAAAGGTCACGATTGAATTTCCGGGCACCTCCGAGCCGCCGGGTATCGGACTTTTACGCAACGGCCATAAATATATGGATGATTAATTCAAAAAGAATTTGACAATATATTTGAAAACATGCATGCTGTCTAAATTATTGAAGAAACGCAGAAAACAATTGTTTGACCTGAGCATCAGGTTGCAACGTGATTGGCTCACTGTCCCAAATCCCTGTACTCCATCCTCTGGCGCTGACGTGTGCGGACGTGAACATACGTACATTGTACATGTACATAAATTATATGCGACGACCACCTTATACTGCATATGGTCTACGCTTTAGAAAGACTGGCGCGTGAACTAGAACAATGTCGAATGACGTACGTATGACGTATCTAGAATTGTTCGCTCTCCTTTTCCGTAATTTGATATATCGTTCACATTTTGTAAATTGAAAGGAAAATTAATATTTTTGTTAAAGCTTTTATCTACCTTACAGTAAAAAACAAACAGCATTAAAACAAAGTATTTCAAGAAAACTACTTGCTTTACACGTTGAAGCTCCTATTTGAGGTGCCCGGAAGTTTGGTTTCTCGTAAACTATTGTACGTTCTCGGGGTCAACGTACAGGCTCTATACTTATAAGCACATTAATGCACTTCATAAATAGAAATGAGGAATGCTTACAATATGTCCGAATCAGTGAAGAATACTAAAACTAGAGTTTTTGAATGATTCGTCTTGAGCGCCACTCATAAACACGCCCCTTTCTGGCTTTGAAGTCATCGGCAGAATGACACATGAAGCTGAACAATATTAAAGAGTTATTTTGATGTGCAGTCGTCCGAACATACTGAGTGGCTTCGTGCACCAACCGTTTTCCAGTCAAAAACTCAGAATCTTTCGGAAATAAAAAAAAAATCCATTCAATTTCATGGAGTATGGGGTTTTCATGAAGACAAATAGCAGCAGCAAGCTTCCGGAGAAGTCTCAAGTGAGCCACGTAGAAATGAAGAATTGATTGTTCTCCATTTCAATTTCTTTTCTCGCAAAAAGGGAGAAAACATGATGCTAATGCGATCAAGCAGCTCACGGTAGATTGTGATACAGATCCCGACAATGCCCACTCCCAAGGTGAATGCTTGTGGCAAAATGATTCACAAGCACTCCATCCCGTGAGGTAACAATTCAAATTTAGGGGACAATATTGTGGCCCTACATACACTGGGTCTAAGACTTTTTGGAAAAAGCACTACACCCACGGGTAGCCGTGAACTGAAATGAACTTAAAAGGGCAGGATTGTCACAGAAATGCCCTTACACGACACGACAGCATGCACCTATTACCGACTTTAAACAAGACCTCATGAAAAAAAACTGCAAGGCGTGGTCATGTGTCTTTTATAATATCTTCATCTCCCGTGTAAAGATTAGAAGCCAATTCCATTCAAGTCACTATACATGTACACATACACAACATACTCGTCGACATGAGGAAAGAACGTGTGTATGTAATGACATCTCTCTCTCTCTCTCCCCCCCCCCCCCCCGATATGTCGTTCCGGGTCGTGGACGCGATGTCAGGAACATTTTTTTAATAAGCAGTGAGGAGAAAAGGCCTCTTCTATTACGTGATATACCCTCACTGTATACATTCGCTCTGCCGTGATGTTTACGCCAACCCTTATACTGCAGAGTGATATCGCGGCTATAAAAGCAGTGTTCATCGGTCTATACAGTCAAATGATATAACTTTAATACACTAGAGCAAACTGAAACACTCGATACGTAAATCAAATTGCAGTACAAGACAATCTAGCAGGAGAGAGGTTAACTTTCTGAAAACTGAACATTCATTATCTCCACACCATCGCGCCATTAAATCATAAATGCCAGTGTGGTAAAAGTCTATACACAAATCTCCTTAGCAAAGATCTTTTCAACACCACAGGCTATCAATGTGAAGTACACAGACTTTTGACGGAATAAGAATGAAATCGTACCATAAAAACAATCTTGACAGATTTACGATACATTTATTTACGTCTAGCATTGAAAATTAACGACACGTGAGTACTTTTCATTGCAATTTTAACTTGTGGTGCGTTAGCTATAGAGTCATATACGACGTACATTTTGACAAACTTGTCCAAAGGTCTATATCATATAGGATTGCTGGCTTTCTGCGATCCGGCTGGTAGAAAAAACTGATTGGTTTAATACCGCGGTCTACATGATCTTTCAACATTCTGATTTGAGTTGGTGTAGGTATCAAATAATCTTATTATGCGTTTTGGATTCCGTTCTAAGTTCTTCTTTTCTGTCTTCTGTACCTGACATGAAATACACGTTCTACAAAAGTTTCCATAAAGAATACACTTGAAGCATGATGAAAAAAGGGTTTTGTTGTTTTAACGCAGAGTCTGGCTGGCAATAGCAGACGAGGTACTCATTTATACAGGTATAAGGCTACAGGGCATTGCAATCGTACTTCTCTTCAAGTGTTTTTTCATGAACTTCAAGAATTTCTCTCCTTCGCTCTTACTCAACGAAAACCATATTCCACTTCAATTTTACCCAAAGGCTGTGCACAATTCGCATACGGAGATATTTTCGGCGTGCATTGCTATCACCACCTCGCCCGTGTCTATTCATTCAATCTGCCCATTAAGATCGGGAGAGGGAGGGGGATAATTGAAATGTTTTATAAACTAGATCTAGCCGTTTCGTTATCATGATAGGCCCACTCATCCAAATAATAAAACGTACACCAGGATATAGGCCAACTGTGGGTTGATGAGCACTGCTCAGCGCTGTCCAAACTTAAACAAACAACGACCGATGCAATGGAAGTCTAGAGTGGCACTATGATCATGATATGAAATTCAATTTATGGACAATAAGCTCCCTACACTTACTATTTCAAAAAACGAATCCGTACTATCCGTATAGAGAGCTGATATAGTATCTGGAAAAAAGTCTGGCGAATTGATTTATAGGAATAACAATTAAGTATGTCACACGCTATAAATTCATTCACAAGGCATCAACCACTTAGCAATCATGCCAAAAGTAGAAGCGAAGTACGGATGACAGTTAGTAATCTGATGCCGTAGTGATTTCCCCCTCTTTTCTATTTTTTTCTCTTGAGTAAATCAATGCATTACGAAGCAGACTGGGAGTGTATTATCTCTCCTGTGATGGATTGACGAAGCAGAGACTGTGACGGCGCCCAAGATAATAATGACCGGGACTTAAAAAAAGAAAAACAATCAGTCGAACGGCGTGAATTTCAACCGCCGAACGAGGCAGCGGATTTCCCCTGTGACGTCGGGATTGGTTCGGAGTGGCACGGTACGGTGTCATCGCGAATGAGTGAGCATACCAGGGTTTATTTTTTGGCACGGAATCGGCGCCATATTTGGACAAAACGAGATGGGGCTTTTAAATCAAAGAGTTTTTAATGCCACCGTGTGTATGGACATAACGAGACGTTTTCGAAACAACGGGCTGAATTTCGGTTCTGCCTCTCCGAGGCTCTCAACCAAACCGTGAAAAATGGCCTTTAGGTAAACTTGACAATCACAAAAGAATGTATAGTGAGATATTGCAAAAGTAAAATTCAAAAATTATCGTGAAAATTATTTTACCATTGTTCTGTCTCCGGGCTCAGCTCCACCGTACCTGAAATAAAAACACACACAAATCATGATTTCAATTATGTAAAAACATAAAGGAAGTCTCGGTCAAACATCAAGTATATATTTTTCGACAGTTTGAGGCTAGGAAGTTTTTCAGTTATTTAGACGAAAGTTCGCCTTTTGTTTTCTTCTTCGAAATAATCTAAAGAACAAGACTACAGGATGGTTCAATTTTTTGGACAGCAATTTTCACTTACTTTTAAAAATTATTTCAAACATTTGCAATGGCATATGTTTTTTTAAGCTGTGGTTGTTTAAACATTTCACGTGCATTCCGTCCGCTTGACTGAGCTCAGCTATCGGAGCTTGATTTGAAGACAAAATATAAGCACCCTTCAAACAAGGATTGGTTCCACTTCTTTTTGATTGGTATGTAATGCTATGCAACAATGAACTTAAGACTACAGTTCCTTGGGTAGATGCTCTTAACACTGACATGAATAATCGGACAGCCTCAATCAGAGTTACATGTTCAAAACATTTTGTTGACAAGGTTTTTAATTTTTGTGAACTACAAAAGCGTCAAATTTACATATGATAACGCGTGGACAAGACTAACTTTGGTGACTTGTATTCAAATTAGCATATCACTATTCTTGCGACTTTTACTAAGCTTTTTTCACCATGCATTGGTTAAGGGCTATACTTTACTACTATGCGAAGAAACAATTGAAATAAGCTAACTAAGTAGGTGAAAGTTGCTGTCAAAAGTTGATTTCCTTTATTTTGAACCACCCTGTAGTCCCCCATAGTGTCTCATGTGACAATTCCCAATGCCTGAACTCCGATAAAGGAGATGAAGTGAACTAGAACTTGTAATGGTTTTTTTTTTACATACATGATCATGCATAATACTCAGGTCTAGTTGAATGCCAAATGGTTGGAATCATACCTGCATACAGCGTCCATTCCTGCACCCAGGGCGATCACCCATTGGTCAGCACTCGGACTGGAGCCTAGACACGTAGCTGCCGCAGTAAGAAACAAACTGTACAGCTGAACACAGGGAAGGGAATGTACCGCGATATATAAAACAAACCTGTCACTTTATATTAATATATTCAACATTATTGAGAGAATCCAGAGGTTGATCACCGTCTATTTCCACTGAAGGTCTTTACAAAGTTGGTCTGTATAGATCGGGACAAAAACTGGTCATAAAAATGGAATTATAGGCTACCACATATTCCTTCCATTAAAGTATAACTCGCCAACGACAAGTTCAAAAACCATTCGAGATGGCGATTACATTTACAAGGAAACTTACATGTAATTGAATAAAAGCAGAAATCTATATAAATTTCGCCGTAACCTGAAATGAATATACGAAGGGAAAAGAGGAAAATTCTGGAAGGAGATACACACTGAGGAGTGCGAGGTAAGAAACGTGAAGGATACCTCACCATACCATAATTTCCTTAATATCGATAGAAAGTTCGGTCGAAGTGTGTCATGTCCCAAACTCACCCCGCCCGAGGACCCGCCCATGCTCCGCTCCACCGTGTCGGCGAGGGCGTCCATCATCTCGCCTGCCCCCATGGCAACCAGTCGCGCGCGGGCGCGCAGGATCGCTGTTAACATGGAGACAAACGGGAGTACAGATTGGTTTTTTTTCTTTCTCGTCACTGATTCCCGCAGGCTAAATTAATTTGCCTAATGGTCAAAGTCAACAGTGCCGGGGCATGGCAAAGAACAGCTTCATTAGTGGGTTTCCCGGCTTTGATGGAGGCCTGATGACAAAAATATGCTGAGATTTATCTCCGCATGTGACAGCCGACGTGAGATGAAGGCCTTGTTGAGCGATAAAAAAAAAACAGATTTGTGGAACGTATAGGCCTAGTTTGATTTCACTTACGCATTATGGATACTTATTTTTCTTGTCAGAAAGTATATACACACTGTCATGTACAAGATGCGACATGTAAACAAAACAAAACGAAATGGCTTCCTATATCATGTCTTGGTAAATTTTTTCGACACACAAAACTTGAAATGGGGTTACTTTTCTCGCGGCCTACCTCATTTTATCTAGGCTTTTTTTTCCAAGGTTCGGCTTCGTTTTCGAGTTTGGCTTCATCTGTGCCTCCAGAATCATTAAGAAGCCTTTGGTGCGCCAATAAACTAGATATACTCTTGTCGTTATAATCTTATTTTATCGTTTCTTATGTAAAGGAGAACACGCATGGACCAAAAATGTACAAGTTCTTAAATTCCGACGCCAAGAACAATTTCGAAGCCGTCGATTGGAAAAACAAAGTCCGCGCGCAATGCAAACAGCAGAACATGACATGTTTTTCTCTAGTTAGTTTGACTCATACGGGCGTCCACTCGCACGCACCTTGCACAATCATCCTTTCCATTTCGCTCTCTATACACCTAGTACCACTTTCCGGAGACGGGGGAAAAAGGGGGAAATTATTCGTCACGCCAAGTGACATGAGAATGCCGTGGACGATAACCAATAATCTATAATTGGGTGAGGTTGCTTGGCGCGAAGTAGGGGTACATGCGTTTGTTTATGGTGTAAATCAAGGACACACACGTGCAGCATCATCGATGAATCAAGGACAGGAACCAAATCGAGGACGACCCCGATTAGAAAACGTGTTCAAAACCAATGAGAGCTACAAACAAAGGAAAAGGGAAGAGGAACAAAAGAAATTCCACGATTTACACCATAAACAAACGTGTATGTACATGTACATGTATACACATTCAAATCGTGGACCTTGAACAATAGAGGACAAAAGGGTCCACGATTGTTGTCCGCGAGAGTTTATATTTTGTTGAAAATGGTCCTCGATCGTGAGTTTGTGTGCTAAGTCTATGGGAGAGTGTTATGCTATAGGGACCATGGGAAAGACAATGCCTTGTCCTCCAGGTTATGTAAAACACGATTTGTGGATACAAATGTAATTGTATGTTTGTAATCACCCTTCATTACAATTTCGCGGCCTTCCAATTTCATGGTCACCGTACCACAGCATCGTTTGATCTTCACTCCAACACATCCTCATCTTCATTTGATATCGTGTTCACTCCTTCTCCGTAAACCGAATCGTAGATCAAGGTTATCTCAAAAACTCATCTTCATTCATTATTGACATTCACAACTTCCCCTGCCATCCCAATCTTCGATTTCTCATAAGTCTCGCCATGTTAATTGCCTTCAGTTTCCGGCAATCACATTTCTCGTCATCTCGGACGTGCTCATCCTCCTCCTAATTACTGTCCCCCCCCCCCTTTTTCCCACTCCCAATTCAACGAATATTAAGACCATCACTTCAGAGATCTCCCAGACTGTTCTCATCCGTTTTAGATTGTACAAATACGACATGGTCTGATCGGAAGTAGTTCAAAATTCCTGGTGCCAAGACGGTGTGGTACCGCCAGCAACCTCCCTTGCGTAGTTAGAGTATAGGAGCTAATCTGGGGTACTATTTCCCTCGTATTATCGACCGGTTGGGCGATATTAATACTATACACCGGTTGGCGATAATAATTCCTGGTGCCAAGAGTTTTCTAGTGTGGTATCACCTAGCAACCTCATAGCAGCTAATATAGGGCATTATAACACCTCACCCACATATTCTGTATCTTGATTGGCCGAGAGCGAGTCACATGGCATTCGCTATTTTTACTATCTTGCTGTGCGCGGCCAAAAGTACTGTACCCGTAGCAACGAAAGTACTATGCCCGTAGCAACCAAAGTACTATATCCGTAGCAACCAAAGTAGTACAGGCATTACCGATATTGTGCGCAAAATAATGCATACAGGTGTGCAGGTTGCGCGTATAGGTCCCAAGCGCTAGCGCTGCAGAGCTTGGTTCAAACATTTCGTGAACGGGTATTTGAAAAAGTGCAAGTAAATGTTCACTGAATTCAATATTAAGTTAATCAGTAATCGCTTAAAATCAAGCAGAATCTGTGGATCACCTCGGGAGGCTAGTTTTACTACAACACTCGAAGCAGTCAATATTTGTATACTATTTCCGTCATAATATCGACCGGTTAGGCAATAGAAATACTATCCATCGGTTGGCGATAGTACTTCCAATGCGCGTGCGGCGCAGTTTCCCCGACGCGTTGGAACCATAGATATAGAACTTTAAAAACTAGATCGGACGCGCGTATGATACGCACGTTTTGACAGGACGCTGCCATTGGTCACGTGAATAGGGTCAAAAATAGGTCAGGATAGGCTATCGATAATTACTGTCATGTATTTAAAGGCCTATCATGTGCTTTATTTGTTTTATTTCGTAGAAAGACTACAGTCTCGTGTATGGACTTCAGCACGAGAGAGAAAAGCTGCCAACGGCAAGGAAAGAACCGACCCAAGCCCCCGTCGAAAATATTGCTTCAGTGCATGGCTGTACCGGCAAAACAACATCAGCGATAGAGCATGCATACAGTCTACCACCAGAAATGGATCTACCCTCGGAAGTAGCAGGAAGGTTATATAATGCAAGCTTGAACAAGAAAACAGACAACTCCAGCAGGAAAATCGACGATCATGTCGAAAAAGATCTTATCCGTCAGAGAGGTGGTAAAAGGCCTGTAAGAGGAGCAAGTTGTTACTCCAGAGATGGCCGACCAGATGGAAACACAGTTTCCTATTCTGCAATTGGAAGTCACTTTGCTGGAGCTGGGAAAACTGCGCCTTGCTCAACGAATCACAATCATAGTGAACAGATGAAGAAGTTTGCACTGCTCGACAAAAGCGTACGTCTTCGTCAGAAAGAAGATTGCACTGCCGACTGTGCGTACAGTGAGGAGATAGCTGGCCACGCATGCATAACTGGGCCTCGTGCGTGGACCATAGCTAAAATTTAACAAGTTTCGCTTAGTAATTCGTTATCGTCTTATTGTTGCTCCTCAGAAATTGAAAGATTGAATAGCCCTCTGTTTGCGTTCATGCATATGAGGAAGATATATTGGATTACTTATTCTGGTTCATAAATTTATGGGAAGCAATACTCACCTGCTGGTAGTTGCATAGGCTAGACCTTCACATAAATATTCGGATGGTGACAACCAAATGTATTTTTTCATGAGCAATGATATTCTTGACATCTTGATTAATGGATGATATGGATATGGAACTGCCATTTCATCAGATTATTTATTAGCTAACGATTAAGTTTTCATTGTATATAAATGGTTTATTACCTAAAAGTTATTTAAGTATAAGGTTGTTCAGTACTCACAACAGATGGCCAGACACTTGTTTTTGTAGTCATCCATTCATTTCAAATGTAATGTTCCTATTGAGGTTAGCAGTATTAATTGATGGCCCATTGAAAATCATCTGTCAGGTGACATGGCTACCCTCTGTAAATAAAGCTATTATTATTAAAGCAACGCAATATTTCGAGTGCCCGTTTTTATCGTTGCTTATTTACAAAATGATTTTCTGTTATTTCATTTTGATGTTGGTAAAATTAAAAGTTTATGTTTTGTCTGATAGGCAAGTAACGATTGATTTTTATTGCACATTTTAAAAAAGAGGGGAAAATCTCATGAAACAGGTTGACATTTAACTACGCTTTTGACATTTGCCTTTGTTAAAGATATAAGAACACAATGTGGCTACTTTTCGGTACAAATTAGTATTCTTGGCTGAAAATCAATTACCTTCAACACAGTCGCCAATTTGGCCCCAAATAAGACACAGAGGCAAACTCATGTGTAACTTTTCAAAGGAATATGAAATGTCACATTGTCAAAAGTCGTAGTTAAAAATGTCAACCTGTTGTTAAGAACTTCAACGCATAGCTGAATTCAGGTGGGGGTGTTGGCGATATTTTTCCGTCCAGCATTCACCAGCTGCCCTTTGCGCGTGGCCCTATTCACGTGACTTTGCAGCGCGTCCATGAAGAACCCAGAAGTGTTGTGCACAGTGAATGGCGCGTTCGAACGCGCGTCCGATCTAGTTATTTTAAGTTCTATATCTATGGTTGGAACATCGACCAATAAAAAGAAACGCGTTTGGATCATGAATTATGTATGAGGTGCAAATATTACCTTCTGCCCCACGCTTCATGGTCGTGCCGCAGTCTCCATCCCCGCCCGACCGGTCCAAGTCGTTCAGTCTGTCCTCCGCCGCAATCAGCGTCTCGCAAATGGCGGAAATCACCGACACCAGACGCTTGGAGATTTCTGGGGTAGCACCCGTAGAAGCTTCTGTGAAAGAAGAAACAGATAACAGAAGAAGCCAGTAATGGAACAATTTCATTACATTCCCTCCGGGAAACACTTTGAATTGAATGAATCATACTAAACCCTTTTCTCGGCAAATATTGCAATACTGGACGTTTCGACCAAAATGGCAAGCAGGGTCGATGGTAATTTACTTTAACCCGATAAAAGCCCAGTTTGTAAATCACATTTGCAATTCGCAATGTCTTTTCACTTCAATGTCACACAAATCGAGCGTTCCGTTACAGTGAAATGTCAAATTAGTTGCCTCCGCGGTTAACATAAAATGTGGAATTTTTCAAAATATGAAACATCTTACATCTTACATCTTTGTATACTTGCACGCCTTCGCGCCTTAACTTTACATTAAAACGCGGCTCATAAAAGCTTTTGTACGTTTTCCTCAGTTTTCAAGGGCTATTGAATACATTTTGGTTGTTGGGAAGTTCGAAAGATACACATTTTTAGTTCTCACTACGAACAAGTAGCGGGTCAAACGTAGGGGGGGGGGGGTTATAATATAGGGGGAGGGGGTTACGCCTCTGCATCCCATCCCACCCCAACCCATATCTTTATCATGCCAGAAAGGGCTTCACTTAAGATCTATCTTTTGTCACTACACTTCATTACATAATATTTGAACCAGATATTGAATTCCAACAAGAACAACAGTTCAGGGTTTTCCATGCGTAAATATCTTACAAGGTTCCTTGATAACTATGAACTGTATGCTATTGTCATGAAGATGGAGATTCGCACGTAAAGCTAGACAAATACAGAAAGACAAAGCCCAATCACATTCGTCCTCAATGTTTGGGGGGGATTCGCATCACGTCTATAGAGATTATTGCACAAATTGTTTTCAATCCGGCGTGTTTTTCAAGCATGCGTTTGCTTCGGCAAGCTCTATCAAAAAAAAATAAAAAAAAATAAGGTTAGCTCAATATAATTCCATAATTTTTTCTTTGGAACGTCGGCTCTACGTATCTCCTCCCCGCCATGCCATGCCCGAGGCGAAGACATGCTCGCCAGATCCCTTAGATAGCAAAATCATCTGCAATCGACAATAAAATCTGTCTCAGAAGTGATGGGAGCTCAAAACGGAAAACTGCATTCAACCCTAGAGACATCATTCCTTGTCGCTAGTGGGCCAGTGGCTATGTCCAACGAAATAGAAAGGTGATTTAACAGTAAACTGATTTTTGGTGTTGCCAACTGAATTCCTATCTGAAGTTGTCCCTGTCCAATTTGACACCGCCACAGGGCACTACTGGTTTGACCGGACGAGCGACTGGCAAAATCTCACTCTTTGATCACGGTGATATTAAAGGAACTCATCAATATTTTATTATTTAACCAAATGCTTGAGGAAAACAAAAATTGGCAGCACTTGGAATTGTTACAAATAAAGACATGCAGATCGTACGAATACAATATATGTTTTTTACACGATCGTCAATTGTCGGCCTTCGGGATTATTGTGAACCCTTTAGTCCTCTATTGTTCAACGTCCCCTATTGAATGCAGAAACAAACTCACACCTATACTCAGATTCGTGTCCTTGCGGAGACATCGCTTCGTTCTCGTGTGCAAAATCGTGAGAGGGTCGAAAGCTATTTTCAAAATGCTTATGTTTTAACCAGAATTTACCTGGGTTGAAATTCCGACCAAATATCCCTTACTTAAAATACTTTAATTTGCGACAAATAAGCAAACCTTGGAAATTCATCATTTTTGAGTAAAATCCATATATCTATTTCGTGAAATCCTTGTTAAGACCTATTCACCTTTAGAAATTGCTCTGTGGAGACGTATACAATCTTTCGTTCCCTATCGTGCAAATGTCTCCACAGGGCACCGTGTACCAGATCACACGCACGAGTGTGTATTTACCTGCAATCGGGGCCCCCTGTTGTCCCTCTTTTGTTTGTACCATAATTTTTTAGGAAGACCTCCCATATGTTTTATACACCATCGTCAATTGTGGACCTTCAGGAATGGTGGACCCTATTGTCCTCTATTGTTCAACGTCCCCTAAATTGAATGCAGAAACAAACTCAATGACACAAACTTAGGGCATTAAACAAAACTCTCGGGTAGTATTTGGAAATGGCGATAAATGAAGACCCCAAAAAACACAAGTCATGCACGGCTATTTGATGTATCCATGACACAATTCAATACTCCCTCAGAAATACAATGAGAAGATCTTAAGAGCTCTTGTCGAGAGATACCTGGCTCAATGCTGCCTGCCTCCTTCGAAGATGTTGATTTGATCACAACAATCGCCTAAGGGGTTAATGGGATAATGCTTCTCGGCTGTAATAAGATTCAACGCGCTGAATGAAGAGCCAATAAGACTGCCCCGAGAGAAAAAAAAATCTGACATGTCTCCTCGTTCATTTGGTCATTACTTAGCTGATTATTACGGACGGAGTCGCGCCAACGCCATTAGTATCCGGTCCTCTGGCAAGGCATTGACACTCAGAGGTGAGTGTACAAGCATGGAGAAATAAAACACGGAGAGGTTCTACATTATACCAACATATTTTATCCATATGCCCGTCTTGTTATTAAAGTTGGCCTTTCCAGACATTTACAGAACTGCCTTTGTTTTTCTTCTGATTTGTTTTCTTCTTCTTGTTCTTCTACCCGGAAACAGCTGCTCGCGTAAGCCTCTTTCCCGAGTAGGCCTAAAACCTTTTCTATGTGGGTTTTTTTCTTCTGTTTTTTACTTTTTGATATTTGTTTTAATTTTGCTGGTTACAAATTGTAACTTTGCACGAGAAATACATAGTTTCTCCTTAATTTATTTCCTTGAATTTCCTTGTGTAACGTTGATTTAACCATTTGTTTACTCAACAAACAACCCTTTTATTAGTAAATAGTTTACTGTTGTACATAGTGTGTATTTCCAATTATACATAACAAAGTGTTCATTTCGAAACTAAAAATACGTCTTGTTCTTCTTCTTCCTCTAGTTTTCCTTCTTATTCTTGTTCTTCTCCCCACCTCAAATGCTACATAACATTGTGCATGTTGTTAATAGTTTAGCTCTTCAAACTGCTGTTAAGGATAGGTTCTTTTCATAGTAAGTTTCTGAATCACAATCATTTTAATGGTACTCAACATTTTGTTATATCCGGCAGGCAATATCGGCTTGAGATTTGAAATGATGCGCAATTGACCAAACCATCGAACGAAATATCGGCATCGAGTCAAAAACCAAGACTTATATAAGCATGACTTTTTTTATTGAAATTTTGTCCGGACCTTAAAATGCTCTCTGTATATATGCTTGGCTTCTGTGGATATTTTGCGCTACGTCTTTCTGGCAGGTCAGGTCTGCTATGGCAACGGTCGTACGCGCAATTTATTAGTACAGTAATACAATATTAAAAAAAGGCCTTTCAATTAATGAAACACGACAACCCAATGCCGTGTCAGTTGAATGGACATCCCTATCATTAAATTGGGCACGTAGGTCATTTTTTGCCAAGATAGGTCATTTCATTCTGGGTCAAGAAAAGCAGTAATTGATTCCAATCCCTCTTCAGATTTGCACAATCAAATCGGAGGGAGTTCTTCTCGGAGCAGACTTTAACCCCAATAACCCGACAACACCCGTTGGCATGGGAACTAAGCACCTGTCTTTTCCTGTTTTTGATGGCGCGGGCAGAGAGAAAAGGGCGGGAATCGGTCGACGAAATTAGGGAGAGAAAGGATTGAGGGAACGAGTGGACGTGGGCCGACAGCATGTAACCGGAAGGATACGTCCTCGGTTGGACATGATTATTCATCGTTGTTTGCCCGCGTAAAATCTCGATCTCGGCCGTAATTTCTCCACAAATCAGAAGGTACTTGTATGGCGGGCGTGTGGGACCAACGAGGACACGTGTGCCGAATTCGCATCACTAAGCAAGTCCTCGGATGACTGGTTACTGATATTAATGATGATGATGATCATGATGTTTGGGAAGGGGACGAAGTAATTAATTTCCGGGCGGCGTGGCCTCGCGGTAATGCTCGTCATAAACATGAGACTGCTGAAGGCAGGCTACAGGGAAAGCAAGTCAGATAAAATTGGCAACTGATTCCCCATGTGGGTTGTTTGGATTTAGTTATTGGAAACCTGCCTTATTCAAAGACGCATGTCCTCGTTTGAAACCACTTTCGGAATTATAGCCCATTTAAAAAAAAAAAAAAAAAAATTGTTTTTGAATATTTTATTTTATTTAATAATAATACAATTTCAACCGTTTTGCCAAAAATATGCACAAACGTGGCTTCAGTATCCTCAATTTGTTTCGGGTATTATCTTTCGTCTGCGAACAGTATTCACAGATACAATGTGTTTCTAAAGACTTTGCGAGTTCGTTATGTGTTTTGGGGTTTTTTTGAGGGGGGGGGGAGGTGATGGTTTTCCTTATTTGGACAACATAGCTGGTTAAATAAATATGACCATGATGAAGCAAAACAAAAGATTGATACCCGATCCTGCATTTGATGAACTTTGTTCGCGACTTTGCTTGTCTGTAGCTAAGCCCTCCTCTTGAACCTCGATGACGCTGGAGCCTCGCGGTCGAGAGAGGGCGCTTCCATCCGCCGAGACATTGCCTCTCTGCCAGCCCAACGCATTCGTCTCTTTATCTGAAGTCAAACATTAAAAAAGGTGGTAAAAAACGCACGATTTTTGCACAATTTTTTTTAACAGGTTCGTCATTTGAGTTTAAGTGATGTGCCTGCTCATACAAACTAATGTTTACGATGTGATCACATTATTTTCACAATATATGCACTCATTTTATTGCCAGCACTAATTCTAATTGCCTCACGGCTTCTTATAAGCCACATACCATCTATTTTTTACTAGGTTTTGGGGTATATTTTTCGAAGGTTTAATGCAGCGTGTATGCTTAATACAATACGTAGTCGATAACTTAAACTAATTACTTATTGTAATAACAAACACACGCCGTTGCAGAAATCATGTGTTTCTGTGGATGGGAGGTTTTGCAGTATTACACCATGTGAATGAAATGTGTTTCTGCATTGATAAACGGAATGTAATAAGGTAGATCATTATGTCATCTATTGTATGAACAGACGGCTCTATTATGTTTACTTAATATGCTACTGCAGTCATCACAGCCATTAATGTTGACTCAATGAAACCAACGGATATACCAACGCAATTGTGAGTTCCTTATTTACCGATATATCGCTTCCGCTCCTCATCCAGATGCATGATGGTCAGGGAGAGACCCGCCATGTCTAGTGACGTCATGAAATGTCCAGCCATCGCTCGTTCCACAATAACCCCTTTCGATTCTATTTTCAAAACATAAATATGTCCAATTTCATTTCAATAGTCCGATGAATTTTGAGTTCAATCTTTCTGGGCGTCAGCTGTAAACTTTGAGATGATTTTTGGAAATTAGGACTCGTTTTCCAACCGTTTGATTGGTGTTTCGAGTGTTTTAACCATGTTGACGAGCATCGTGTATTGTGCCATGAGATAAGAGCTCGGACGTTTGAGTCATGATATAGTTTGCGGCCGGAACAGACTTAATATTAAGTACAGCCGTTTGTTTTAGCTCATGGATTTACAACTTAAGTCTTTTGATAATTGGTTCAAAAACTATGCAAGTTGCGTTGTGTCCAATCAATTCATTTTTTTTTCTGGATTTACTGGCCCCGACAAAAACCCCAGAGTAAATGAAATCACCAGATGTCAATGCTTAGTAGTTAGGAAATTAGAACTAGTTTAGGGTAAAGGTTGATCGATGGTTTCACCCAGTTAGCGCCCATCGTTTATCGCGCCATAACGTGTCAGGTCGTTGAAGTCCATCACATACTGTTTAATTAATCCAATCAATCATTTGGTCATGCTTTTTGTAATTAGATATGAACTTCCTACAATTCAATTGGGAGGTTTGACGTGCCGCGACGGCCTCAATAAAGCTCATGAAATTACGAGCTAATTCTTTCAATAATTGGTTTCTAAAATGTGTTATTCACTATTTGTGTCCTTCCAATTTTATTTTCTCGATTTACGGGCCTCGAGAAAAACCTCCAGGGTATATTAATTTTAAATTAGGCCTTCTCATTATCCAAGAAACAATCTCGATCGGAAATATCTTGGAAGTTGCGGCCCAGTGACCCCATGATGACCTTTGACCCCAGTTTGGTCATGTGACATGTTGGGGCTGGGCTACCGATACTTCTGACAAAGTTTGCTTGAAATCGGTCAAAATATGTAGGAGCAATAGACAATGTCAACGTTTGTTACTAACTAACTAAGGTAGAGACATGATGATTTGATGAGCTGCTATCCCGCAGCTAAAACGAAGCAGCACTAACTGGCTTTTATGAGCATAGGCTAATCTTAATTTTGAAGTACCGCTCTGTTTTAAAACACCAACACATGCGAATATAATTTGGGACAAAATGTTGCAGTGACCTCCACTGTGCAAAGTTTGAACAAAAATGGGGCATATTACTCAAAATGCGCTCTTGCGATTTGTCAACTCGTGTTGTTGGGTTGGACCACATCACTGTTTATGCTGAAATCATTCTCTTCATTTGTTATGTTCGTGAACCACACCCATTTCGTGAAAGACAGACTCCATTCGCTTTGTATAGCTATAGAACCAGCACAATAACCCATTAAAATGGAAAGTATAACTGTCAACATCTGCCCTAGCAAGAAAATGATTATCAATAGATGTGAAATTCAATCAGGCTCAACAGCTGTTCCAGCACGAGTTACATATTAATTAGAAACAAAAAAATTAGTCTTCATGACTGCGGGGAATTCAGTATAGGCTATGTTTTGTTACCAATGTATCGGATGGCGGAGCGCGCCATCAGGAAGAGCTCCAGGGCAGATGTCGCGCCCAAATTGTTCAACAAAACCAGGACACGATCGCCTGTAATTAACAGAAAATTGAAAGCATCAATTAATTGAAATGCGAATTCAATTAACTAAAGGCAGCTATTTCGAGATCTTTTTCTGAGAATTTGTATGTTGTTGCTTTATTTAAAACTCTGCAAAAGGGTATTTTTATTGGAACCAAATAAATTCTGTAGCACGTTTCTCATTACTGTCATTTTTTTATACATGTTTATACAGCGAGACTGCAACTCTCAAAGACTAGAAACGGCGCTCAATGTTGGAATTAAATTTCAATCAGTCTCCTTAATTGATTGGTGTTTAAGCAATGCACTGGGTCAATATTTCATATTGATAAAGACGCATTCCTCATTTTAATCTAACTTGTCAGTGACCCTGCCCGGTCATTGAAGGATTTTGGGTGCCACGTCCATGCCAGATGTTGTTGGAATCCAGCCAGGGAGAGCAGATTGGCTGTTGTGTCCTTGGGCAAGGCACATTACTGTAATATATGCACGTGAGGGCGTACTGCGAACGGTGTGTGGTCTCAGACGGTTAAATCTACGACGGTAGAATGAAAAACTAACCTCACCAATGTACAGGGCGAGTCAAAAAATAAGTGACCGATTCAGGAAAAAATATAAACAAAATGTGGCTCGCTGTATTAAAAAAAACCACAGGCATAAAGTAAATGTTATTGACTGGTAAAAGAAGTTCACGTAATTTGCATACTCTATTTCCAAGTTACGTCTATTTTAATATGCAGATCACAAAATTCAGCTGTCCACAACTGATCATTTACCGTTCTACGAACTGATGAATACCCATTAAATACAACGAAACACGAAAATTTTTAACCTCGGGTTTTTTTGGATGACATTTGTAAATGAACTTAAATTTACTGAATCCCTCTTACCTAATTTCAATGTATCTGTCTTTTGTGATTTTAAGTTTGTAAAGTATTATATCAATGTGTAACTAAGTGATGTTTTTGTTAATATTTAATGTTGGATAAACGCGAATAATAATAGGCCAGGAAAGGGCAAAAGAGAAATAAAATGAAATACGGACGTTTTTCCACCTCCATGAATGGAGGACTTGCAAAGGTAAACATACCCGAAACATCGCCCTTAGTATTTCAGACAGTAATAGATGACTTGTTCTTCATGTTCAAAACACAAAATCTGATAGTAAAAGTAATGTATCAGTCTTCATGTAAATGGTTAAAATCTCATTTGTATTTGAATGCTTGGGTGTAATCTGTAATTCTCACTCAGCTCAATAGCCCCAATGGTATTCCATGGACAGCAGCTATACAAATGGGTTCTTTCAGTGAAACGTGCATAACGTCTGATAGCGCCATGGGTCAATTTCAGTAATTCTTTTTTTAAGATGAGTGGAAGAACATGCTCTTTTAAGACATACTTCATTAGTGTATCAAAATAATTTGATTGCTTTTTAAGAAAGAAAATCATAAATTCGGGTCACTTTCTTTTTGACTCACCCTGAATAGGAGGGGAATAACTTGAAAACTAATGTGATATTATATTGGTGACTCTACGCAATTGTATGCCTGATTCAAGCATAATGGAGACCCACACCATTCACAGTACTTAATCCTTAAACCCCCTCGTTTCACACTATTTCTTATTCAGTTGAAATAATTTTCCTCACCCGATTTGACTTCAATATGGCTGCTGGTAGCTGTGTTGGTCATGTGATCGATCATGGCTGCCGTTATGGCGTCCGCAGGGCAGACCTTTAGAAGGTAGAGGAAATTGGAATCCGTCAACATCTCATTGTCACCTCGGCCCAATACCTCAACAGTTTACGAACACTTTCACATGCTGTTTATTAAAATGAACTCCAAGTTTGTGGAATCATAACAGTTATTTTTGTTGGGAAACCATGTGGTGTTAATTAATGCACTGAGTCACTTTCAAGCCGGAAACTTGGAAAGAAAACACACTGGGCTAAGTATAATATACAATTACGACTGGAATCTTCAGAAACTAGATAGGTTCAGGCACGCGAGTTTTTGAAACATCGGTCCTGTCTCCAGCTTTGGCTTTATGAGTAATATAGGATCCTGATGTGGGGGACTCTGGAGCTAGCGAGGGAGCCGAAGCTGGATACGAATCCGACGTATGAAAATCGGCGTCCAGAAGTACCTACGATTCAGGGACTTACTTTCATTCGTTTCACACCTGGTTCCCCGTGCACCCCGAGGCCCAATTCCATCTCCTCGTCACCAATCTGAAAAGTGGCACCAGACCCTGGCACGTGACACGGCGATAGGCTGATGCCTATGGTTCCTGTATAACGAAACATATCAACATGAAAATGAAACCTAGTCTTGAGACTATCAAGTGAAAACGTTTCCTATCAGAAGATGTGGAAGAGTTGTCAATATGAAAACAAGATAACATTACCCACCTGTTTTGTCATTTTTTTTAAATGGAGTACACAGCTCATTTAATTGGAATTAAGCAATTCAAGCCAAAAACCTACCCATAGATTTGGCGGCTCTAGTGGTAGCTTCTACAATCTCCGTTAATGTGTGACCCTCTTCTGCCATTGCTCCTGCTATCTGAAACCAAAAGTTTACAAATAAGCTCCCCCCAAAAAAGATTTGTTTGTCTGTGCTTTTGGGTTAAATTTTTAGTTTGTATGGCATTTTTTTAAATTACAAATATCAGCTTTCCAGTGAGACATTGTTCAAAACTGGCCAATGCTAAATAACAGATATAAATACAGTCTTCAAATTTGAATTGAATTTACCAAAGAAAGCCCTTTTCGTTCAATGTTTGTATAATTTTCTCCGCAATTGCTTTATTTTTGGGCCTCAGTGAGAAAACACTTTCAAAAATGGCGTTCGTTCCTTTTAATTCCAACAACAGTAAACCTTTCCTCGTTCAATGTATGTACAAGTTTCCTCCGTGTGTGCTAGTTGTGGAACCAGAAAACCATTCAAAAAATGGCGTTTATTCCTTCACCTTTTGCACGAGAATGATCCCGCACAGTCCGCGTTTCCCGGCTGTCTTGTCCACGCTCGTGAGGGCGCTGTCCTCAGCTACCGTGACCGTCTCGATCTTGACGCCCTGGGCTTTGGCTTTCTCTGCCGCAAGGCCGAAGTTGATCCGGTCGCCCGTGTAGTTGGCCACGATGAGCAGCACTCCAGCTGGTACAGGCGAATCAACAATGACGTTGCTTAACTTTGGATACTTCGATTCCCGTTTGGTACTTTTCTAAAACCCGTTTGACTGGCTTTCAAGAATCGGGACTAGGCTACATTATTATATTTTGAAAATCAGTGTTAGTGGAGTCCATCACTGTAAAGGCCGGTCAAAAAGAAACCCCAAGTCTGGTAAATTAGTTCAGTAACAAGTCTGGTAGCAAGTCTAGTAACAAGTCCATTAACAAGTCCGGTAACAAGTCTGGTAACAAGTCCGGTAACAAGTCCAGTAACACGTCTGGGAACAAGTCTGGTAACAAGTCCGATAAAAAGTCCGTTAGCAAGTCTGGTAACAAGTCTGATAACAAGTCCACTAACAAGTCTGATAACAAGTCCACTAACAAGTCTGATAATAAGTCCGGTAACAAGTCTGGCAACACGTCTGGTAACAAGTCTGATAACAAGTCCGGTAAAAAAGTCCGGTAACACGTCTGATAACAAGTCCGGTAACAAGTTTGGTAGCAAGTCTGGCAACAAGCCCGGTAACAAGTCTGGTAACAAGTCCGCTTACAAGTCTGGTATCAATAAGTCTGGTAACAAGTCTGGTAGCATGTCTGGTAAAAAGTTTGGTAACAAGTCCGGCAACAAGTCTGGTAACAAATCCGGTAACAAGTCCGGTAACAAGTCCGTTAACAAGTAAAAGATAAAAAAGATGATTATGCCATTATAACGAAGGAATTCTTTTGATACAATTTATTTGAATGGCATGTGACTTGACTCGAGACCGCTGATGGACCGGTGATGAACTGTACTACAACGATGTCGAAAACTGATTCAGGTGTATTGCTTGATACAAATTATTAGCGACTTGTACTTCACGCAAAAGGTTGAATCGAAGTATTTTATGCACCGGTGACGATAACAACAATTTATTTTCTGGTCTGCACAAGAGGGCGGTATTCACCTGGGTTGGCGACGGCTCGTATGGCTGCCAGGATGTCACTTGCAGGAGGCGAGGTAAAGACCGAGCCAGCCACGGCGCCAGTCAGCATACCGCGACCGACATACCCTGAGAATTGAGAAGAGAAAATATAATGCGGGCTATCAACAAAGTTTAAAACTGACCAAAATGTGCTTAGACAGCCTCACGAAGACTTCGTCAGAAACCAATTGCACTGGAGGTGGGTTCTTTGTGTCAAATGGATTCAGATACACATCAAGTAATTAATCAACTTTAGAGGACGGCCTTGAGGTTCGTTTGATTGGATTTTTTTTTTCGATCAGGGTAATCAGGCTTTGTAATTTCACATGAACCATTTAAGAATTTTTCAAAGTTTCATCATTCCCATTGTTAAGAGTGATTGAAAGAAACGGAAGGCCTACATCATACATAATTATTGCATAATTAATGACAATGTTCAGTCTTAAAATAATGGACACTTCAGCTACATCCCTTCGGAGTATAAAGGGCTGCCTTTCTTGAAGTTTAAGTCACGAAATCTAATGGTAGCTTTATTGTCATGCAAACTAAATATCAATATAGGCAACTTTAAAAAAATAGCTTGCCATGACTTTTGCTTGGATTAGCTGGTTCATCATTGGGCTCCGTACCTAAAAGTCAACTTCCTCTTTTAATTTTTACCTGATGCAAACGGCTCATGTCCCGAGCCACCGCCACAGAGTACGGCCACCTTGCCAGCAGTTTTATACTCGGCGATGTCAGCTCGTAGAACCACCCTGTGGCCTAGTAAAATATTAGAAAAAACAGCCAAATCACTATAGGGATTTGTGAGCTATAGGGTCCCGAGAGGACACCAATTCTTGTTCACTTGAGGGCGCTGTGCACTACTGAGTTATGCTTTATATAATAAGAAGTTCGCCAGATAGTCACCGCATATGAGAAAAGAAATTAATTGTAACATAATACTGTTTTGGTCAAATAAAGACATTCAATTAGACCAAAATTGAGCTCAGGAGTCAAGTTGCGAATCTGCGGTTGGTAGGGGGCTTAACCACGCCTCCCCTTCGGTGCAAAAAAAAGGACAATAACTGACAAAAGCACGTGTCTGCTTATAAAAAAAAACCTAACAGCTAACGCATCCCCCACCTTCCCCTTGTGCAAAAACCTGGATCCGCCCCTGAACTAAAAAATAATTCTCATTTCTGGAAGTTCTGGCACTTCGAATTTCCCCTAAACCAACAAACACAACAGAATGGGAGAAATGCACAATGTTATTTTATCTATGCGAAATTCATAGCACATAATGTAGTATACATCAGACAGAACCACTGACTATACATGAGGCGCAAACGGAACTGACACTAATTGAAATCGCATATATTTCTACATTACGATTTAAGCAATTGTGATCTACAGCTCCGCCCCGCCCGCGATTTTTTTTTCTCCCCAACGACATCCGCATATGGGTGTACGCTATGGCGTTCTGGACTTACTTTTCTAAACTTGAACATGAGAAGAAAATATAAAATTAGAAGAAAAAAACAAATGAATTCGAACGTTTTGAAATTCGGACTTTATTTCCCTTTCAAAAAAAAATCTTCCGAAGCCTCAGGTTAGAAAAGAAAAAAATTCCAGTGCAAAACCGTGTTTCGAACCCGCAACCTCGCGGTGCAAAATTACGACCCTGTATCGACTGAGCTATCGCACTACTCGCCAAAACGTGGGGAAAAAAATAATTATATACCTGCGTACGTATCATAAAAGTATCGTACAGGACGCTAAGTAACCATGTATGCGGATGTCGTTTGGGAAAAGGAAATTCGCGCCCCGCCCCCTCCAACTTAGGCCCGGCCAAACGCGGCCCGACAGCCGACAGTCTAGGCCGACTCTTAAATTGTGACTCTTAAAAAAAAACATGCAATGCATCCAACGATACACACGAAATGTCCTGAAAGAAACTAATAGACCTGATTTTATGAGAAAATTGAATACGCACCTTTGAGCAATTTGACGGCTGGATTGACGGCCACCACCCCTTCCAACATCTCATCCACGCACGTCCCTACCGTGTTCAGGAACTGCTTATGCTGACCAGCCATTTCAGTGTACTGGAAGTTCGTGTGCTACACCTGAAGATTCTTGTCTTGTCTCAGCCGTTTACTGCTGCTGCTGGTACTCAGACTTATCGCAACACAAATCCAACGTAAATGTTGACAAGGTCAATCAATATTTTGTAAAGAAACGGGCTCGATCATTATGTTTGTGCATGGATATGCACCCATAATGTGTTGTGCACTTGTTTACGTACGTACGTACTGTACTGGCGCGGCCTTGCACACGACCTTTGCAGGCACGGGTCACTAACAACAGACTCGATTCCAGTCGTTTTTGTAAGAAATGTTGGTGTGGTTGACTGGATCGTTCTGTCATTAGTTGTTTTCCTTGCTCGATTTCGCACTAAACTATAATAGCAGGCCTACCGTTGGAACTTAGTGGGCAAGGTAGGCTGGGGGGGGGCTATTGGTGCCATCGTATCCCATAATACAGGGACACGCGTAAACACAACCTGTAATCGGTCGTGCCGTAGTACAGTGTACGCTTGAGTACACTTCAGGTGTTTGGAAAACGCCACCAAGTCTTCATTAGTACGCCACCCCGCCCCTTCCCCACCCAAAAAAAATACCGGTATGACATTAGTCTTGAATTACGTCTGCGCATGTACAGGTACCTTGATAATAATAATCGCGCAATGTTTAAGTGGTTATGTAAATATTGACTATTACTGAGATCAAAGGTCGTATACTGCGCCGTTTCTTCACTGCAGTTTATTAAATCGGATAGCGAGGTTGATCAATCTGAAAAGCATACAATACCAACAAGTGTTATCAACGAAACCCCATACTTTTGTAACAGTTATAGTTATTGAGTGCCAACTTGCTCGCGGTAAATTTTCCATAATGAAATAAGGTGTTTTGTTTTAATTAAATGGAATTTAACATTTTACCCAGTAATATAAATATCATCAGGATATTATTATAATTATTAAATTTTCGTTATTATTCTACTGTACAGTCGTTCATCATTTCGTTTACTTTTACATACATTCCTGACATTCAAAATGTCCCGTATAATTTCAACTTTCACAATGGTGATTTTTTTAAGGCATTTTCATGGTTTATCATGCCTAAGGGCAATTTTAATATGGTATTAAAGTGACCGTAGAGTTTGCAGTAAATAATACACAGATAACGTAGGTTCCGATCATTAAATCCGATTGGTTAAGTTTCGATGAGCAACATCAATAAAGCTGTTTGTCTATCTAAAATGTAATTAACGGGAAAGAACTGTATAAACACGATACAAATATCCTCTGCTCATGTTGACTAACGCCATTACATGCAGGTAAAATCACACGAACAATTGTTCGAGTAGTTTATATAACACAGGATTTTAATTGTAACCACATGCAATTTTGAACAGGCTTTTTAGGTTATGTGCAGTATATTCTCTGTATTGAATTGTAATTACTTGTTTTTATATCTTTCTTCTTAGTGAAGTACATGTATTGTGATTTTTGTGTAATATTTTATTTTTGTAATTTTGTAACTTTTTTCATTAACGTGTTTAAATGTAAAAGGCCACTTGAATTTCCCGTCATGGATAATGAAGTCAAATTGAAATTGAAATTGATTTTACGTTCGAGGAATATCTTATCTACATTAGCCCATCACTACAGACAGAACATCTGGGGAGATTATGAATGTATTTTAGATGTACATAATGTGTCCATTTAGGACTTACAGAAAATCGTCACTGAACTAACAGCATTTAGTCGATATAAGCTAGGTTCTGTTTAAATATGGCAAATGTCGATCATACAATATACAAACTCATAGGTCGATATTGTTGCTATAATTAATTGCAATAATTATCAATCAAGTGGCCTCCCCACAAGTAGTGCAACTTTGTTCATGAAATTTAAAGATCAATCAATCGAAACACCGGCACGACTTATTGCACAATTTTTCCAAGTTATTTTATTTCTTTATCCAAAGTAAATGATTCGCTAAAGGCCTAATACCTTATGACGTCACGCTTTGTTTACATGTGCGCTTTTCTGTGTGGTGGACGGTCCCTGCTTTGTCTGGCGTCTTGACTTCGCTCCCATAGGACAGCGCATATGTAAACAAAGCCATTACGTCATTTGGTCTCATGTCTATTAAATGCGTGCTAAGATGCAGTCAAAAATTACAAACTACCGATAACATTTTCCAGTTCTTAAATACTATGAATTTTTTTTCAAGCTTTTACGAAATTTTAGTAACTTGGAGCTTCAGGATTTCTCGGAATTATTGGGCAATTCGGCATACGGCGGTGGCGGCGCAATGGGCGCCATGGGCGCGATGGTCGTGAAACCAGGCGCACCTCCCACCGCCCCGCTGGTGGTCAGGACGTAGCCCGGCGGGGGCGTGAACTGCTGGATGGGGATGGTGTACCCGGGACTAGAACCGGCCGTGTCGATAGTTGTGGCTTGGTTGGAGGCTGCGTAGCTCACGGGCGGGTTGGTACTGGTTTGATTCCGGCTACCCGTACGTCTTCGGCGCTTTTTCTTAGACAGTGCCGAGAAGCAGCACATGATGAGGCCCACGATGAGGCAGAATCCGAAGAGGCTACCGATGACAATGAACGTGATGGCCAGCGGAGACAGCCAAACATACGAGCTATCTGCAGGATTCGGAATCAGTTCAAAAGTACACTTCAACTGTCATTCAAATAAAACAGAAATGTCAAGCAGCATTTAACGCGACTTCTGCGGCCACCTCTGCAACCATTTATTTGAATGATCCCTTTAACCTGGCCCATTCATGTTGATTGGGTTTTCACTTCCTGCCTGATTCCATAGGATTTTCCAGAAATATCACTTCGAGGTTTTCTTCAAACTTCTAAAACAGAGCATTTTTTTTATTATCCTCATCTTTCTCTCGACGGTTTTCTTTAGGCCTTAAGGACACAGTGCAATGCCCTTACCCAGTGTATATAGTTTTGTCCACTTAAGTTCATTCACAAATGTCAAGTGATTGCAGATAAATATACTCTCATCACAGCTCGTGCGAATATCTTGAACTATGACTTGACACTAAATGGATGACTCGTTAGGACCTGTGAGGACTTGTGAGGACGTGTGAGGACTTATGAGAACTTTCGAAAACATGAAATAACCTGTGAGGACTTATGAGAACATAATGAGTACTTGTGAGGACTTTTAAGTACATGTAAGGACTTGCTATGGACTCATGATAACTTGTGAGGACTTGTAAAAACCTATGAGGACTTATGAGAACTTGTGAGAACCTGTTAGAACCTGCGAGGACTTGTAAGTACTTGTAAGGACTTGCCATATGGACTCTTGAGAACTTGTGAAAACCTGTGAGGACTTACGAGAACTTGTGAGAACCTTCGAGAACCTATGCGGACTTGCGATGACTTGTAAATTCTTGCGATGGACTCGTGAGAACTTGTGAGGACTTGTGATAGACTAGCCTTGTGAGAACTTGTGAGGATGTATGATCAACTCGATAACGACAGTGTTCTTACCAGCATACTCGCAGATGACCCCAACATCCTCGTTATGACCGCAGTTATGGACGTGCCAACCCGGAGTCAGACAGCTGGCCAGCGTGCTCTCCGTCCCGTAACACGTCACGGTCTCCAGCAAGACCGAACCAGTGCCTTTCCCGTACAGCCGATCACCATCGTCCACAGCAACCTATAATTTAATTTAAAAGATGGAATAAAAAAGAGTATCCCTTGTCTCAATAAGATAATTATTAAATTTGCCTTCCCTTGCTCTTCAACAATATCGATTTTGTTTGTGTTATTCCAACCAAACAAAAGCTTTTCTCTGGACGTTATCCGTAGCCCTCTGAATTAAAAGTGTTTGTTTTGATAAAAAAAAATCCATTGTGCGAGCAGACTGGCTTCCGGTCCGTACATTATCGATGCTGATTGTGGGGCGGTAGCCAGCCTACCCGGTTAGAACGGAATTATTGCCCGACAGCAAATAATTCCAAATTATAAAGTAATAATTTAATAATTGTCTCATTCAAAAGTGAATAACTTTTGTATTGCTATATAGAAGAAGAAAAATCACAAAATTCCCGCCGAAATTCCTCTGGTTTTACAGTGTGTTGTTTTGTTAATTAAATCAATCAATTATCGGACAGTCACCTGTGCGTTTCCGTAGCCCAGCTGACGGCATACGACCTGCGCGTCGTAGATGTCCCAGTAGTCGTTGCAGATGGTCCCCCACATGGGCTGGGTGTCAGCGTGAATGTGGTAGACCTCCACCCGCCCCTCGAAGCGAGAGGGCCCGCCCATCAGCCGAACGGACCATTCTGAACAAAAGAGACCCCCCAAAAATTGACAGTTTGTGTGTTTGCACCGTTTCGGTTCGCGGTGACACCGTGTGGTAATAACTATATCGCTCAGTGGATGTTTAATTCTGATAAGAACTTGTCCTGCATATTATCAACTTTCGCTAAGTAGTTTTTTAGTTCCGATTTTTTTTCTTCAAAATATTATATAAAAAAATTGGGACACCAATGATATGGATTGTTTTTTGCATAACATACACGTTTACAACTGAAGCGAAAGAAAGAGACAATAAGATTTGTCATTTCATTTAATTCTGACAGCACTTTTGTAATACTGGGCTATATGTAATCCATTCCAGCTCTTTTATCGCACCGCAAATGGCGATGTTTTAATCCTTTCTCGGTGTACTTCATAGAAATATGAACAGAATTTCCAATTTACACAAATTCTGATATTGGGATTAAATCTCCCGATTCTCCTAATGACGGTCAGAGCATACTAGCCGTAAAGTCAAGTCAACAATACTGTTTTTGTTTACTCTCACGACCCCCTCTTCCCCTTTTTCTAGAGAAAAGTCACTTTACGTTGTGTTTCCTTTACATTGCTCCCAAGTTAAAAAGCAGTGTATAGTCTTGGTTCCAGGCGCCAACTCACCCCCGATGCTGCTGCATATCACAGCCGCCGTGTCGCGGTCCGAGCACTGCTCAGAGACCCATGAGCCACGGCTGCAGTCGGCCAAGTGATACTCGTTCCCTGGAGGGAGGAATCAGAAAGCAATTTGCATGAACGGATCACTATCTGATCACATTAAGACCGGGCCAACGGTCTCGGCAATCCGATATTTGCTGATCTTTCCGGATGGAAAATTTCGCTAAAACACGCAAGATGTTGACTACTCTGTTTACAAAATCTTAGGTCAGGTTGCCACCACGGCTAAAAATAAACATGAACACAAAGAAAACGGGCAGTGTCTTGTTTGTTTCCAAAAATGTCCGAAGTTTACCGATTCGTTGACGCTCGGATATGTTCGCAATACTTCGGGTATTTCCGTGCGTAAAATATTTGCTATGCTTTTTAATGTCAGTTTTTTTTAAATTTTGAGTTCATACATTCATGAAGTCGTTGCTTGCATTAAAAATTTTCAATGCAAGGTGTAAAACCCAGTAACTGTATTCATGTAGACGTACTACATGAAATACCGTGCCAAAAATTCACCTCTCACTTCCAAAATCTAAAACACCTGCGGACAATTTAGTGCCACTTACGGATACATAAATCGGTGTAAGAAGATGAAAAATTCTGAAATTTGTGGTGGTCATTAGGTGAAAACTGAAATTGAACTAGAAGATGTCCTTTATAAATTGTGTGAATAAACTTAAAGAACTCATTAGTATTTACGAACAAATTCTAAAATTGACCGTTGGTAATTGATAAAAGAACTGCATCCACGATCCGCTCAAGTCAGTCCCACTCAGAACCCATCGACTGTAGGTAGGTAAAGCTTTCACATTCTCGTTTTCACGCAAGTACACGATATATCCAAACAAATGTGCATGAACAAGGAGACCTGGGAACGAGAGTGCCGGATGTGAAAAGGTCGTAAACGAAATTCGTTTTTACCCATCTCCAAGTGATAATATCTTCAATTTTCAATACCAAGATAAAATTCCAAATTGAATGTTTCTTGGGGTGGTTACAGTCAGCAATCATTATACAAGGTGAAAGAGCAACTCAATGTAAATTGCCCATATTTATAGACGGGCCGCTCCGGGGTTCCGGAAGCTAGCCGCATGACCTTTTACTTTAAGGTCTTATCGGGAAACAAATACTGTCAGGTGTCCTTGACCCCAGCTGAAACGCGCCCGACCGTGCAGTTTGGTGCCCAATCACCGGAAAGTCCAGCCCGGCGAATAACTGAGCCTGTGACGATATTCTACTCGATTATTCCCTGAATTCGCTCGGAAAGATAACCACATCGGATTACTGAAATTGCGTGAGAAAGAAACTTCATGTATGGCGGTTCTAAAGAAGACATTGTGTCAATGCCTGTGGGAGACTTTATTCACATTTCCTTTCCTAAAATGTTGTGACCATGCCGCAAGAAAAATATGTCTTTCTGCTCAGTCAATACAAAGTACTTTACATGTCCATTTTGTTGATTAAAAAAAAATCTTTATATATTGCGGGTTTTTTTTCTTCATAACGTTTCCCCGAGTCGAGCCTAATTTATTCGTAAGCAACTCCCTCCTTGCTCCTTGTTGTTTACCAAATTGTCTCAACGATTGTTCTCCGACAAGCGATTGGAACGTCAAAGAAATGCCGCACTGGCAAGCTTCCGCCACTATTTGCTTTTCACGCGATAGCTATAGGCAAGCTACAATAGTAACGGCTCAAAAGAGTCTATGTCCTGTAAGTGTACATAGCTTCCTTTTGTTCCAAAATACAATTCTATATGCAGCAAGCGAATACAGGGTGTCTCAAAAAAAAGTTGTGCAAGCAGATATCCTTTAATTTCTCAAAAACTACCTAACATGAGTGTTTCATCTTGATGGAGCATATGAATTGTACTCTTGTGTATATTCAGTAAAAATGCCATGGAAATCCGTTCATGCAAACCAGAGATGTAGCAGATTAAAAAAAAGGCTATGGGTTTTTCGCCCATTCCAGTTAACTTAATTTACATCAAGAGAGAAAGGGCCCTTTTACAATCTGATGCACGGATATCACTAAGTGTATAAATCCCTTGGCATTAGTGAAAAACCCTTAGCGTTTTACAAACTTAGATCTCTGGTCTGCATGAACGGATTTTCATTGCATTTTACTGAATATGCACAAGAGTAAAATTAATATGCTCCATCGAGATGAAATACTCATTTCAAGTAGTTTTTGAGAAACTAAAGGATATCTGCTTGCACAACTCATTGGGGGACACTCTGTACTGAAGGATGCGTTTTACTTTTGAATTTAGATTTTAGTGTTCCATTAAAACAAATGTGTTACAAGTACCTTGGCAGGAGACGGCCTCCAGGTGTGTATCATACGCCATTGAGTCGAATCGTTTACCAGTCGATGCCAGTGTGGCTAACGGGTAGCCAAGCTGCCTACAGACCACAGTAGCATCGTTAATATCTAAATATCAGTAAAATATAAATTACAAAAAAGTGGGAAATGGCACTGAGAATACGGCGTGTCCCAACAAGGTCCATCTGAACAATTATTTAAATAACTACAAACCATGAGGTCAATTTTGAAAAATGTAGATTGTGCAGATACTCCTAAGCCTTGGCCTCAACCCATATGAGTTTCAGTGAATTTCAGTCACGCATCGCTACACAATTGTCAATTGATCACAACAACAATTTTGGACACTGTGACCAAGTTCACAATTGCTTGAATGAATTTCAGTGCCGAGTTATGTAAGCTGTGTAAAATCCTGCATGTTGTGAAAAGGGCTGCCGTCGGGATTGGAATATTTGCCTGGCTATCAGTCATCATGGCGAGACATCAGTTAATTCTCAAGGGCAAATTATTTCAATCCCAAAACATTCCAGTCTTTTTTTTCACGAATGCAGGATTTTACACAGCTTACATAACCCAACACTGAAATTGATTAAGGCAGAATTTTGGTCACAGTGTCCAAACATGTTGTTGTGATCAATTGATCATTGTGCAGTGATGCGTGATTGAAATTCAATGAAACTCATAGAGGTTTAGGCCAAGGGTAAGGAGTATCTGCCCATAAAATATTTTCAAAATCAAGTTCATGGTTTTGTAGTTATTTCACAAACAGTCAGCCGGACACTTTTTGGGGGATGTTCAGTGTAGGAATCGAAACAACAAAATGGCCTTTACGTAAAAATAAAACTGGGTTTGCGTAGGCTAATCTCGACGAGGCTTCGAGGCCAAAAAGCAAAAAGCAAAAAGGGAAATAACACAGAGTTAAAATTGTCATTGAATAAATCAGATATCTAATTTTTTTTCTTTTGATTTATTTATTTATTACTTTATGCTTCTAGTAATGCTTTAAGCCATGCCATATATTTATTTGTTTCCTTTTTTTCTCTCGCATAGCATCATTGTCTATTTTGAGCCCTGTACAAAAACGTACCTCCATAATATTTTTATTTTCTTTAATTTAACCTACAAAATTTCATTTGTTAATTCATCGTCTTGTCATTCAGTTTATTTCTGTATGCATCTACTATTGCTTTTAGCATGCCATTTTCTTTATTGCTATTTTCTTTAATGCATTTCCTTTAAAAGCATCACTGTCTATTATGAGCCCTGCACGAAAAAAATTGCTCCACACTGTTTTGAAATTCTTTAGATCTTACCTTTACATTCACTGTTATATTCATTGTCTTTTTCATTCACTTTATTTCTTTATGCATCTACTTTTGCCATTTCCTTTAACGCCATTTCCTTTAATAGCATCATTGCCTATTATTGCCCCTTACCGTTAAATTAAATTAAATTACATTAAATTAAATTAAATTAAGTTGTCCAATACTTGCTTTACATTAATTCACACTCATCGTCCCTGTCATGTGCATTCTGGTAATGTCTATGTTTCTACAAGGTCGTTTTCGTTTGTTATTATGTATCTTGTTAATTGAGTTATTATTTTTGTTGTTCAGGGGACTCGCACTGGACAAGCCTGGTTTTTTTTGTGGGTCCCCTGCATCTCTTGGTATTAATACTATTGATTTTTTTTAATCTTTATTGTTACAAGATACCTAATTTATTAAGAAAAATTCTTTGTATATTTTTGAATTACATGTACTATGAAATGGAATAAGTAAAGTAAAGTTTTACCGAAAAGTTACCGTTGAATGACGTGACACGATCATGATAAACGCTTGCGTTCAAAACAGAAAGGTGTGCTTAACGAAGCAACACAGTTAACGTCAGTTCAACATCAACCAAGACCTCTCAATCAAATAAAGCAAAAAGTAGCAAATGGAGTAAATAAAAAATGAAGAGAATTGCTTGAACGAACAATAATCAAAGTAATCACTTCAAAATGCTGACAAGCATAATGCGCGGACAACGTTCATCCAAGCGAGAGATGTTTTCGGTTTCTTTTAATAACGGTGATTTGATAACCCCGTCTATGAGGCGAATGTGGAAGAACGAATCAAATTTATCAGCAATGTGCAAGCATTTTATGGCATATTCAAAGCTGGACGAGAAGTGACGTGATGTATTGTATACAATGATTGAATACATCCTCATCATTCTGATTGGTGGGTCGTTGATCACGTGTTATTGAACTATTCATCCTAACGCACGGCGCAGCCGCTCCGCAAAAAAGAAGTTCCATTCCACGGTAAATGGAACTTCCATTGCACGGTCACACTATTGGCGGCTCTAACCAATCAGATGGCGAGGATTATTGGGGCATTTTCTAAAACTGTTAATGAATGTTTCACATTCGCGCCATGGAAAGAATAATTTCATTCGGTGACAAGTGGAATGTTCCATTTTCGCCTCGTGGAATGGAACATTTTATCTGTCACCTCATGAAATCATTCTTACCATTGCACTCATAAACATTCCTTATTTGTATAACGTCACATACTTTGGCACTTACCCCAATAAGGGTTACATATTGTTCCTCTTTTGCCTTCGTAGGAAACCTCTACGATACCTTCATTTGGGCCCGAGCCTGCTATCAAGCGTACATTAAAGCCCGTAGTCACGGCTGTAAAAAAAAAAAAAAGAGCAACAAACAAAACATGATTTATTTGTTAACATCCTATATAAAAATAATTAAAATATTCTACGCTGTCTGTCGGTCGGTCGTGGTGCCTGTCTGTCTGATGTCTGTGTGTCACGTTTTAGTAAAAGGCCCATAAGGAGTGTGCGGATAATGCAAGGGTTGATGGAGAGTTACCAGTGTATGCGGTCCTATGCTACGATTTCATTGTCCTCTGAAGTCACGGTTGGCACGTGGAAAAAATATATTTTGTTTTGTTTAGGACTGTGATTTGTACATTATTGATTGTCGATTGAGTTTGGCCGATCAGCCGTTTGGTCGGTCAATCGGTCGGTCTGTCGGTCTTTTTACGATTTAGCTTCAGTTTTCAAAAGATGTACAGATTTTTTAGGATGAGAATGAAAAAAGTTAGGCCTATTGGTTATCAACTGTCATGGATTGTGAAAGCAGTCTCTATATCACATTCGAACTGGTGTCGTGTGGAAATTGGACTCTATGAATTGCGAACTCATGGGTTGTACTGCGCATGCCTTAGTGAACAAAGGACAGTGTCGGATCACAAGTAGAGTCCATATAAAGTAACAAAAAAAATTAAAACATTAAACAAGACCGGATTCCTTCGGATTTTTAAATGAACTTGGCCTTCCTCTCAAAGTAAGCTTGCAGGTCGAGTGGTTTCCACTATATTGTGCAGAAGGTCGTTGGTTCGAATCCTGTCTGAGCGTGCAAGCTTATTTGTTTTTTCCTCTGACAACTTTTACGCTGGTATTGGACAAAAAGTCAATTTGAAGAAAAAAATGCCTTCGGCCTTTTAATTAATTCACACCATCACGTCATGCATTGTTTTCCTCTATGTTTTCTACACGGTGTGCGAGCGTGAATACACACCACGGATTCCGAGGTCGTTGCTATATTTAGCTGCAGCATCACCACGTACGAGGTGGCACGGCAATATTAACGTGTTGCGTTAATGGGCACGTCACGTTACGTAAAACAATTGGGAGTGTCGATGTGGAGCAAAGGGCACACTAACTGCAACGTGACTATATCATAATGGGCCAAAATTAAGTGGACTTTAGCAGGTCTAATTTTATACCCATACACTGGTCTTATAATTCGTTTATGGTATGAGCTAGTTCCGAGAGGGATTGATTGTGCAGAAACCATAATTATCGAAAGGGGTATTGCTTCCTATAGTGCAGGTTAATGGAACAATATATACCAAAGATATAAATACATTCTAAAATATTATCATCAATTCGTTTGGAGTGGTATAAATGATTTTGTAAAGAATCTATGCAGCATTTTTCAAACCATGTTCGAGCAAACAAAATTTAGACTACAATCAATGATTTGTAAACTTTGCGATTTTACAAGCAGCATCGATTAGCATTAATGTTACATTAACATTACGTCAATGGACATCATAATGACCCTATAGGCCTAATCTCAGTCGACTCATGAAACAAGACAAAGAAGAAAACCACCGATTACCTTGGGTTACGTTGCTGCTCTGCGCCGCCACATCAGAAACGAACACCAAAGCCGTCACTGCAAATAGCCAATACAGCATCCTTGCGTTTTGGGCGAAATCGTTGGTGAAACTTGTCTTACTAGTTTTTTGGGGGGTATAGGCTTCACGAAAATATGTTACGGTTATGTCGGAAAGCAGGAGTCTAATGAGTACTATATTGTTCAGGTCGAGTCACATCGCCCAAAACAAATGACTCGCGTTAATGGTGAACCGAGTTACGTAATAGTTTGGAAAATTATTAACTGAACGGTCAACAAACCATATCATGTCCGTTTTGATGAGATTTAGTAGCATTACCAAACCGCGTCAATATAAAACCAACCGCCTGCTGATAATGAATTATTATTATTGACATGATTTCTTTTATATTGTATTTGTTTGAAATTGGCTTCCTTCAGTCGGGCAATATGTATTTTACTTCCATGTATTAAAAGTACAGACTACACGATTTATGTTAGATCCACGTTCGCTATCCCCACTGTTTCCTCTCTCAGATATTTTCTTAGCAATCGTTGTTTATAAGACATGATTCTGTTCATTTTTTTTATGTTCAGAACTATAACGTCCAGTGACGCTTCAGTGCAGACCCAGTCCTTATGTCAATTTTTGAAAACTGGGATATTGGGCTTATTGGAAAAGACATTGAATTAGCTCGCTAATGATGTACAGAGTACGGGAATCTGATGGAGTTATAACAATAATAACATGGCTTCTTGTATAGCGCTCTTGTCCATCACGAAGTGACGCTCCTGGCGCTCCAATATTACCCTGGCTTTAGCACGGCATATACGGCGCTCAAGCATTGAAGCAATTTCTTCCTATACCAGGTACCCATTTACTGGGTGGAGAGAGGCAATCGTAGTCAAGTGCCTTGCCCAAGTGCACAAGCACCATGTTCCCCGTCAGGATTGGAACCCATGTACCACCGTGGCACACGAGACTAAAACCGTAACCGTTGGACCACAGCACCCCATCTTCAGATCTCCTAATTTACTTTTAAAAAAATCTAGAAATTTGTCGTTAACGTTTCCAAATGAACTTCCTAGGAAATTTACAAATTACACTCATGGAGAGAGAAATATTCACGTTTGTATAGTTTCTAAAGCCTAAATCTGAATTTCGACAATGTTTTTGTGGTACAATGTATTTATAGGCTGTATCTCAAATACGGCTGTGCTACTTCCGACTGGTTTTGTTATGGAGGGTCACATAAGTGTCAAAGTTTTCCTTTTGCGCTTGAGCGAAGTTGACCCTGAATTGTGATTAATTAGTTCGTCGTGAGAGGATTGTTTCATTTTCACACAGCGTGTGAAATCAGATTGGTACATTTTGGACTACCATGCAAAAAAATATTTATTTGCCCCCACTTGCTCCGCTACAGATTAGTGTAAGTGACGTCATCCCCTATCCTATACAGCGTCACCCAAATTGTGCCGTCTTCCGATAATAGCATATTAAGCCAGAATCGTGAAATTAATTCTTAGTTTACTCGCCAAGCTCTGAATTTCCATATTCCATTTAGTTGTACCTCGCAAGAGACCTAAGCTCTTGAACTCGTTCTCTACTCAACTCCAAGCTTCAACCACTCTCTCCACTTTCAAACGACTTTTTAAATCTATCTCAATTTAAACCTACTGTAGATTCATGCCTTTGGTTAGCACACCCCTTATTTTATTGCTCTGAACTGACTAGTTTAATTTATCTGTAGTGTTTGTTGTTTGTGCCTGAATGTGTAATGTGTCTAGTATGTTGGTTTTCTGTGTAAATCACTTTTTTAATTACAGCACGCTCATTGAGCCCTGCACTGTTATTTCGGTTGTGTACTATATGAACCTAGCAACCAGTTGTGTAAAAAAAATTGAACAAGTTGTGTAATATTTTACACAAGTTGTGTAATATTTTACACAAGTTGTGTAAACAACAGTTTACACGACATGTTGCTAGGTTCATATAGTACACAACCGTTTGATGTTTACACAACCGAAATAACAGTGTGCCTCTGTTACATGTGACTTATACCATCCACTGGTGTTCTTTGTATGTTACTTCCTCTCTTGGTTCGGGCTCAATGAGCGTGACTGTCTGGTGCCCATGCTTAAAAGCTTTGCTTCTTAATGGGCTCTTCTGCAGTATCTTCAAATCATTCACTTTCTATAGTATAATGGTTGTTGTATTATATGTAACTGATTTCTATTCTTGATTGATTTTGATACCGAGGGGAAAAAAACACCTTGAAACCTTAAAAAAAAGACCAAAACGACATCAATGACGACAAGGGTAACGACAACGCCGATGTCATCGAGTCCATGAGATTCTTAAAATGGCAAGGGAACGTCAAAAATCTGCTCAATTTGTTATTAAGCACGGATCGTAAGTTGATGGCGAAGTCACCTGTAAATTCATTACAAAAAAAATATCTCAGTGTAACAGAGCATTTGTGGAATGAAAATCAAACATTTGAACATTTGAATCAGCGTCCTTTTCTGTTCTTTGATTTCTAAATGTTCACTAAAAACTCTGCCCTTTCACGTCAATTGCATGCTGCAAATCTTCAAGAGCCTCTGGCGCATTAAGTTACCCCGGCAACGTGTCCTCCGCTAATCGAGCCATTTGCCTCAAGATTACAGAGGCGACACAATAGTGCACAGACCATGTTTAGTCTGAGCTCCTGCATCCTGAGTTCTGAGTCAGAAAAGGACAAATGTTTGATCTTATTTTGTTTCTTTCACGGCACACTGAGAGAGAAAAATGCTCTTATCACCAAGCAAAACATGCACAGGAACCGCGAGAAATACTGATTGTGTACGAACAAAATGTTTCATTTGTTTGATTTATGTGAAATTAATAATTTGATGACGTCGTTTAAGATTCTATGGCTATTTAAAAAGGGGAAAAAGTCCTTTGGTTCAATCGACTTTTGGCATATTGTGCTGCCTGCGTAGGATGGATTATAAATTGATAAATCATATGAAATTAGTGGAGCCTCGATGCACTAGGCCAGCGTGATTACATTTTTCTCAATTTTTTGAATAACTGAATTCGTCTCTCCGTACCTCTTCGTTTGCCGAAGGAGTCTTTCACTGATGAATAAAAAGGAAAGAGTCGAAACAAAATTATATAAGATTATTATTTCATCAACTGCAACCGCCATTTCGCCATCAAAATTGAGGTCTCCCTGCAGAGAGACGTTGTGAGATGAATCAAATGTCGCCAGACCGTGAAACGTGACCTAAAAAAAGAGCGATATCTTTTGGGAATATGGGTCGCGGCCTTGTTTTCTTTTCTTTTTTTGGCTTTTTTGTTTTACGTGATAGGTGAAACTACTACAATTAAAGACATATCGAATCATATGGAATACATTTTTTTTTTTCGTTTACAATAATAACACCACTCAAAATCCCAAGAAGAATGTTGAAAACCTGACCTGTTGAAAACAGCGAACAACCATGCACAACCTTTAACCACGAATTAAACAATTTCGTCTATGTAACTTTATTTTTACGTAAATCTTCTACATTTCTTGATTTCTTCTAAAATTAATGACAGCTAAGCCAAGGGCGGATCCAGGGAGGGGGGCCAACGGTGGCCAAGCCCCCCCCCCCCCAAAAAAAAATTATAAAAGAACCCATTTTGTTTTTAAAGTTACGTCGCAATAGAGGCAGGCACTGCATACACGACCATCTTTTCCTCAAGAAAATTGGTTAAGTGGTCTAACATTGCTTCAGATCGCACCGCAGAGCATCTGGAACCCCACGCCGTAATTTTTTGGACCCACTTTTCGGGGGACCAAAACTATTTTTGCCTCCGTTCTGGATCCGCCCTTGAGCTAAGCCAGACGGTATTTCGGGGTAAAGGTGTTTAGTACCAGTATGATCTTTAATCCAAATAAGCATTTTGACAATAATTTTGCTGGGTTACTTGTTTTTTGATAAATGCAAACGATATATGCCTTTAAAGTGGATATGAAAACAACAAATTTCTAGCATAGTATTCCACAAAGTTTTGGCAATACTGCACATGATGGCCAAAAAAACCCACAATAACAAGCATGTGATCATATACCTACTAGTATTTTACAACAACAACAAATCAAGCGCACAAAATTAGAAAGCCAAACAAAAAAGGCGTTAGTGCCTATAAGTACAAGCGTGCATGTTGATACCCAGACGTTTAGGCAAAAAAGTGAAATCAAAATTTAATTAAAGTAAACTAAGTCTGTCACGAGCCAATGTGGCCCATCAGGCTGGCGTTTATCTCCAGTTTCAGTGGCATGAAACGTCTGAAAATATTTCTACTCCCCCTAAATGGGATGCCATTCCATCGCAGGTTACTCCCTAGCTAATGCCGGTACCCATTTATACTCCTGGGTAGAGAGAGGCAAGTGGGGGTAAAGTGGCTTGCCCAAAGACACAGCATATGACAAGCAGTTGGATTCGAACCCCCTGGCCCTCTGATCATGAGTCACGGACCCTAACCACTAGGCCACACTCCCTACACTTGAAATTAAGGTTGCCCTAAATTGTCATTGACAGTTTTGTTTCACAGCTGAACATCAATGCAAATTGATCAAATCAAATGTTTTTATCATCCGTTTCACCCCGTTTCGCTGGCCGTCGCCATCACTAATTACGCTGCACAACAAATTCAAGACTTCAGCAAAAAAGTAAATACCCTTTGTTCGTTTCCGATTGAACTGTGTGACATTTTAACAATTTGACCCGTAACGTTTTCATCACGGACTAGAAATGTACCCCTTTTGTCCATACACGTTGTAACAGTTTCAAAAAGCATTTAATTATCAAATTCACATGAAAGACACGTTTGATGGAAAACGGTCCTCACTGAGAACTATGGTATTTCGCCAAAAAAAAAAGTGTTTAAAAAGAGATACCCCTTTTGAGGACAGAAATTCACTAGAATAACAGCACTCAAACATCACATTAATTTATTTATAGACGAAATATACTTATTTTCACCAAAACGCTTGTAAATATATTTCATTGTTTTCTGAATTCTGAAGAAAATACGAAGTTGTATACCTGTTCTTCTTTCAAATACATGTATTAGTCTATGGTCTGAGCAATTGTCGGCAATTATTTGTTGGTTAGTTAGTTGAAATACATCAAACAAGATTTTTTGTTGGTTAATTATTTTGATTTCTAGGGTTTTTTTCTTGTCTGGCGTGCTTCATCTCTGTATACGCCGTGTCATTT